AATTGCTTTTTCTGTTTTCTAAGTAGGCTCGTTAGCATCAAGGCAACACCCTGTCTCACAAACTCGTAATTACTATTCCCCTGGATCAAATTACGACTCTTATTCAGCAAATCAATTAGGACATAGAGAGGAGGAGATTACAAGGCTGCTTTTCTCGTGCACCCAGCAGAGAGAGGTGTGCAGTGCCGTCATTATTTAACCATTAATCCCACATCCAGACAGATTTGTGGTTAAAGGGGGCAACCAGCAGAGTCTGTATCACAAGCAGAAAAGGCCAAGTTGCGTGCTGTTTTTTTCTCAAAGATTAAACAAACTGTGTTCAGACTTCAATGTGTTTTGAGGAGTGGGGTAGGATTTTGATAGGGAAAACCAGACCAGAGCACCCAAAGGAAACTCAGCTGCAGGAAATGACTAAAAAAGGAACATTTCTTTTTTGCCAATCTTTGCCAAATACACAAAAACACATCTAACACCACCTGCAAATACCAGCATGAAAAATTAAATCAGACCATATCTTTTTTTTCAGCCAGTCAGGGTAATTCTTTTAACATTATTTGGGGCCTATATTATGCTATTTTATTATCTATGTTATGATGTTGTTTCTGTATCAAAAACATTCCCTGAGTTGTGTTTTGTTTCATTCACATGTTTTACACACAAACCCTACATATTTAGGGTGAGTTTTTCTCTCAAACAGAAAACACTCAGTCATGTGGTAATACCTGAAATGCTCCAGGGTGTTTTTAAACTCCATTCACCTTCACCAGAATCATTTGGATGATTTCAGCTCTGAAATTGCCAATCTTTAAAGATAAAAGGTAGCTGTTAAATTACCACTACCACTTCATGTATTTTGAGTTTTGGAGATGTTTAACTAATAATAAAGGGTTACTAAAACACATGTGAACAAAACAAAACACATTATTCTAACATGACTTAGCAAGACTCACCAGAATTAATTTTGTATAATATTTATACTTACGGTACTTTTGTGAGATCACTTGAAAACTTTAACCACATATCAATACTCAGCCAGAACATCTACATTAGGTATTTCCACTTACAGTTTCCCAGGCTTACTCATTGCCTTCACTTACATCCTTTCATAACTTTACTTTTAATACAGTTGTACATTTCAGCATAGTTTTCAGACATCCTACTTGTTTTATTTTATAACTTGAGAATATATTTTACAATGCACCAGCACTCTTACTTTAAAGTTTAATCCTGCCGTGAGTATGTCTGTTTCATACATTTGGCACCTTATTTTGAAATCCGGACTTGTCTCCCTCATGCTGGCTCCTCTGCAGAGCAAGTACACATCTCCCCACGACCTCTTTCACCACAATGTATTCAAACATCACGTCAGCTTCCTGGTTCTCTCTCTTCTTTTCTGTCTTTTTCCTTTAACACCCCAGTCTTCGCAATCCTGCTGACAGATGACTATCACATACTGTATACAGAGACTTCAAACATCCTTCATTTCAAAGACCAAGTCAGAAGAGATCTCCGTAGAAACCATGAATAAGTCTACAGATTCATCACAGCTCCTGATCTCTCCACTCAACTGGAGGTTTTTGTTAAGACCAATATTTTTCTAGCATAGTTCTTTTTAATTTCAGAACCGCCTTGCTAAATCCAACCTTTGATGTTTTGAAAAATGCTGTCTTTAGTTGACATTTCTATGATACCCTGTGATTTTTTTCTTTGGCAAAATCCAAAAGATGCAATTCCTGTCAGCTTTAAGTGCCTCAGACTGTCACTAAAAAGCAAACACTTAAAGTATATGTTATGTGTCCCAGAGTAAAGAACTTGCTGTCAGTGGGAGAAAAAGCGTTCTTCTATTTGTGTGTCTTTCAGTGTCAGTTCATATCTTTTAGGGATTTGCACTTAATTTGCACGTGTACTGCAACAAAGGGACTGTTACATCTCATTTTTGTAAGGGTATAAATAAATGTGTTTGCTTTCAGGAGATGATGTAGTTCAAACGTCACCAAGTTAGAAAAGGAGTTTGCAGATCCTACTCTTGTATTTGTTTATTTTTCAACTGGCACTTTTCCCTCACAGGAAGAAGATGTATTTGACTATAAGACTAAACCTTGCAGAGCCTTTCTTGTTGAGTTTGCATGCTCTCCTCATTTTTAGGAAAGGTTCAAATACTCTCCAATAACTTAAAAATATACTGATTATCATGAGCATATCAAGACAGCGAGAAAGATTCATGACTGCTGTGAGAATAAGGTGTGTTTTGCATAAAAGCATTTACATCTGAGTTAAAATATTCTCCATAAAAGGTTTTCGAGTCTCATAGTGCTCATAAACATTAAAGCTCTTATTACTTATGGTTATGGTTATTTTTGGTAAGACGGCTTTGACTGGCATTCCCTAAAGGATTTCATAATGTGTGATCTGTCAGGATTATTCTTTGAGACAATGCTCTTATTAAAATGATGTGCAAAGTTATCAAAATGTGCACCTGTCCAGTCTAATAGTGAGCAGACAGGTATATTATAAGGTTATACCCCTCCTTTAAACCCATGTATTTATGTCTCAGGGTTGCTGCTAATCTCACAGACAGGCTGCTTATTAGACGTGTTGCTTAGGGGGAAAAAAAATACAGAGGCTGCTTATTTAAAAAAAATTAGCTGTTTCCATGGTGACGCATTCAGATCTGTTAATTGGCTGTCAGAAATGTGTGATCCTTCAAGATGAAAAACACCATGCAAAATTATAGGATCCAATATGGGCACATAAGCATAGCAGCCTCAGGGGGGACACTACTATACTGGGGGTTTTCATCAAAATAAGACCTGCTATGTAACATGGATGAGTCATAAATGTAATTGAAATTGCATGTAGAAGAGAAGTGCTATTTTGAAAGCCTTATAATCCAATTTAGCCTGGCAGCAACATAGCCATAAAAGCAATGATTCTCAGTTCTTTTAAAGCTTTGCAGGATTAAGTACAGGACTGTGCAATACAACAGTGTTATGTAAGAAAGCTAACAACAAGGAGGAAGAGAACATTATTATCACTAACACTATTACCTAATGATAATTAATAGATGCTTTTAAAATCTTTTTCTATTTAATTCTGTTATGTTAATTCAAAGTGAATTCTACTTAAAATGGATACATTCAATTCAGGCAATACAATATTTGTTTTTAATATTAATTTCTGTGAATTTCACATTGCTTACTTCAAAATAACGTGTAATTTTGTTAAAAGGTGAAGACGGCCTTTGTTGTCAACATTAAAAAAAATAAAAGACTTCAAGGAATGCATCATTCATGTTGTGCATAGATGTTTTTTGTTTGTTTGTTTTTGTTTTGTTTTTGTTTGTTTTATTTGTTTATTTAGCATGAAAACTAATGTCCATTCAAACAAAACCACAAAAACAACTTCTCAATGCTGATGAATATATGTTTTTTCTTGTTTGTTTTTGTTTTTTTAATATTATAGCTCTGAATATTACTTCAAATCAAAGCCCATTATGTTTTTCTATATAAGATGTTTTTGCCAGTATATGTATCTTCACTTCAGCTAATCTGTCCACTTTTGCACAAGGTCCTTCTCAAACACTCAGAAATAAACTCATTGCAGTCTCCCACATTTTTCACTCTCCTCAGTCTTCGGTACCTTTATTTTTTTTTAGAGCGCTCTGTGTTGCCATGGATTCAGTAGTCATGGTTACAAACAACTACGCAGATGAACAGGAAGTTTAAAAAAAAGGTGATAGCTCATCTGTGCAGAGATGATACAGCTACAATATAAAGAGGCCGCAGTGTTGTGCATCAGTTACAATGACAGGAGGAGGTCAGGACATAAAGGGGCTAGAGAGAGTAAGGGGCATCTATCCCTCTGTGCTTTTGTCCACAAATATGAAAAATGTTTTCTCACTGTGAACACAGACTACAGTCTGTGAAGCTTCCCCCAAACCTCTTGCTCTGGTTGAGTCTTGAGGCAAAGAGCTCCAGGAAACTCATAGAAATCTGTTTGTATTCAGTAGTCCTATTAACACTGTTGTGGTATTTGTTTATTATGAATCTGAGTGCATCCTGAGCACATCCTGTCATATTACTCTGTCTGCACTGTCTTCATGCCTGTGCCCTCTAATGCAGAGGAAGTGACTTTGATAGTGGTCCCTAGGAGGCCTTGCATTAATGAGAGGGATCTTCACTGAATTGTTAAATCAATAGTGAGTCAATGGCCCTAAGCCGATCTGTAAAGGCTGTAGAAAACCGCCAAATGCCTTCAGATATCCTGCAACAATAACCCTGTTAAAAGGAAAAGGTCAGCGTTTAGCTGTTCCACTCCGATGGTCAGAACAGGAAATAATGTGGAGGACACAAGGAGCAGCCTGAAAAAACATCTGGGCCGTATCCAAGTGATGAAAGTACATCCAAGTAAAAACTATTTAGTCATGTTTCATGAAGCTTTCCATTTGGATTCTGTTAAGATTCACTTATGGGGGAATCCTCATAATCTTGTGTGTGCTGCCACCTTGTGGACATAGGTTAAATTGGCAGTTTAGACTGATGCACCCACGTAAGTGCTGTGTGAGTAAAACAGCTACATACTGTAAAATATGGAATTTAAAGTAATGCAGATTGGGTCTCACAACTTAAATGAATATATTTTATTTTATAAGGTAATGTATTTATTTTTTTCTGCCTACAAATAGCAGGGTAGTGATCTATCATAGGCGTACGCATACAAGGCATGTACAGAAATCAAAGACAAATAAGAAAAACAGGCTCATATGAGCAGAGAAATTGTGTGCTGTTAAAAAGATTGTTATTCATGTACAAATCTGATAGATGATTGGGTTCATTGTGTGTGGCCATTGGCCACTATCTATTTCTGTGGTTGCAGTTATGTGTGACTGTCTTTTGGAATGAGGCGGACTCTGTTACAGGCTGCTCCCTCCCTCAGAAGCTGTTAAGTAACAGCTGAAGCCTGTCTTAAAGACACACACACATAAGACACACATGCACAGGCCGGAGCACTGTACTACAACATAGGCAGTCAGAGTATCAGAGTCAGGCTCACGGCACACGGCCAGCCTGTGAGGGCACTTCTTCTGGAGGAGCCCAGGGGAGGGGCCCTGCTCTGGACGGGACCATGGAGCTGCACTGTCTGCCTGTCCAGACCCCCACAGGCAGCTCCTGCTCCACAGACCCTATCTACGACAACTGCCTGCCCCATGCCCAGAGCCGGAGCACCAGGGACGCCCATATGGAGCACAGGGCTCAGCAGCCCACTGTCCCGGGCCCCTGTGGCCCTCGGCCTGGGCTGGTCCCGGCGGTGGCTCTGGGTCCCACTGTGACTGGGGCCCGAGGGCCTGGCCTGTGGCCAGACCACAGTTACTGTAGCTGGAGAGGAGCTTTGGGCCTTCCAGGATATGGAGGAGAACTGGGGGATAGAGGAGGAGACAGTGACCAGGGAATCCTCTGGAGAGCACAGGACAGAGCTCCACTGAAACGCAGCCCCAGCCCATCACAAAGCACCGAACATAGGAGCGCTCTGTCTTTCTATGACAACATCCCTGAGGCCATTACCCCTAATAACCTGCCAGTTTTCTCCATGGAAACACAGGAGCACATGTACCAGGCCTGGGCCCCACAGCAGGTTCAAGGGCCCCCCGAGCCTGAAGAAGAGAGCCTGGAACGGAGCCCCTGGTCGTCCTGTGAGATCGTCCTGCCAGAGTCCAAAGATCTGGAGCTTATCTCGGAGCAGGAAGCGGAGGTGTGTTCCCAGGTGTGTCAGACTGAGCCCTGGCCTTCAGAGGCACCTGTGCGGATTCCCCCTCCTGTCCCTGTGGCAGACCCTTCAGCCAGTGCCCTACGCAGCGTGCTCACCAGCCTGCAGCAGCAGATCACCCGACAGAGAGACGAGTATGAGGAGCGCATTACTAGGTAGGAGGCTTTGTGTGTGTTTCTATGGAGCTGAACAGAGCTGATGCGTCTCTCTCAATAGGGTTATGTGTTTTATCGCTCACATTCAATTTAGTGAGTGCACTCCCTCCTGGGGCTGTTCCCAGAAGCACTTTCCCAGGACAGAGTTTGGGAGCTCAGAGCAGCTCTGGTTTCTGTCTCGACCTCTGGCTTGGCCTCACATCCTGTTTAGACCAGTGCAGCCCTTTACACAAAGTACACACTGCTATATACAGTATATCTAATATAACTCTATAGGCTATAGTGTATTAGTTGTGAATGTTTTAACTAATGTTTGATTTGAATCTAGTTTTCATCATTTAAACTAGTTTTCATAATTTTAAATTCTGATATTGTAACAGAATTTGAGTTGGAGTAAAAAAGCACAGCATGTGGTGTTGACCTATAGAAAGAACCTGTGACACTGGAGAAAGAGGGCTAATTTGGGAGGCCATGCTGCTGACCTAGACACAACACATGCCTCATTTATTACTGATATAGATAGGACAAGTCTCACTGTAAGGTCACTCTGGCACTGGTCTGGTGAGCAGCAAAATAGTACGAGTTCATCAGGGTCAGCCACAAACTACAATGTGCAATCATAACAACTCTGCCCCACTAACTCATCGTCATCATCGCTTTCTTCTTCTTGTGCTTTTTGACGACAGCCTGGAGCAGAGGAACGAGGAGCTGCAGGTGGAGGTGATTCGTCTGAAAACAAACCTGGCCCAACAGCGTCACTGGTACCAGATTGTTCAGGCCAAAATCATAGAGTCAGAGAAAGCGCGCACTGCCGCAGAACAACGCAACGCAGCTCTGCAGAGGGAGATGGAGCAGTTCTTTGACACTTTTGGAGAGCTCAACAAAGAGGCCAAGAAGACAGAGAATATTGCCAAGAGCTTTTGATAAGGATTTACTTTCTAATGACATAAACTTTGCGTATTCATTCATTCACATCTGTGTTAATGCTTTAAGTCAGCAACTGTCTCATGCCAACTGTATGGTTGAGACAAGAGACTGAACGATGACCATTTCAATTGCACTCTGTTGCACTTTGAAAACACCTGAAAATTAAAGGTCCTATATTACGTGAAATTGACTCTGGTGAACTTTAAGACATGGTATAATGTTGTTACCTTGTCAAAAGCATACTCAGATTTGTGTTTTGCTTCATTAAGAACATAACAGCTACCTTTTACCTTTGATTTACTTGGCAAGAGTTTGGTAATTCCAGGGCTGAAGTGATCTATCACATAACATCACAAGGTGTTTTTTGTTTGAGAGAAGTAAATAAGCCTAAATATTCCAGATTTGTGTGTTAACTACATGAAACAAAACACAACTCCAGGTATGTTTGTGATGAGGAAAGAACATTACACATAGATCAGAAAAAAGAGTAATATGGGCCCTTTAAATGGTCAAGAAATGATAACATATAACTTGCTTAAAAAGAGACACAGGCACAAATATTATGGACAGGATGACACTCAGTCTGTATTTATTTTCATGTGAACTCACCACATCTGGGGTCATTTAAGGCAAGACTGACAAAATAAGGTCTTTCTTATAATGACGTGGATACATACAAGTGCATGAGTCTTCAGCGACTCCTTATTGTCTTGCTTATCTCAATCACATTGTGCAATCATGTCTGCTGAAAGCAACGTTACAGTTCATGTGAGACATCTCTGGTCTCAGTCAGGTCTCCACAAGCCTCTTCACAAACAAAGACTTTGGGCTTCGTGGACGGAGCAGGGATCATAAACGAGTGCTACACAGTACGAGAACACTAGCACACACAAAGGCTAACAAGGCAAATTACATCTTTCAAAAACAAACTGTTATTAAAAAAAATGACCAGATCAGATCGCTGTCATTTGTCACTATGTGTAATGTGGTCATGCAAGTTAAACATGGTGATGTGTTTGTAGCTGCATGATGGTTACTGATGACTTGATACTGTTACTGTTCTATAGCACAGGTGGAATGGTTTAGAAAAGGAGCAGTCCATGCATTAAACCACAGAGCAATCCCTATGGGCCCAGAGCTGATTGTGTGCAACATTTTGCAAAACAAAATAAATATTCCACAATTTGTTAAAGATTTACAAGTATATGGTGGCCTTTCTTTAGATAGTACTTTTTTGAAATTAGTCTCTTACAACATACAGAAGAAATCAGCTACCTATTTGTAAACAAAACAATAAAGCTACTACAGAAAAAAAAATCTGATATTAGAAGTCAAAATTATGATTCAAAAATTCAGTTTATTTACACCATCTATCAACCTAAATTAGTTCTTAAATGGGATGACTAGTGCATTGTAGTAATTCTAATCTTTGTTCATTTTGGCGTTGCATGCAGGAGAATCTCTGCTCAAACATATAGGTTATAATAACTCAAAGTAATATTTCTAAAAAAAATAAAACTATTATATTCATGCATTCAAACTAAGATTTGCGTACATGTAATAACCTGAAATAGAATGCAAACATATGTGACCTCAGCAATAATCAATTTGACCTTATGGTAGCAGTCTCAGACAGAGTCTCAAGAGGACCAATCAGAGCCACCAGCTTGCACATGGAAAGAAAATATAAAAATAGACCTATTACTTGAGTATAAAGGCGGACGATGAAATGAAATTCTGGTAATTGGTGGGTTGGCATGTCCCTCACTGGCACTCTTCTAGGGCCCCGGTCAGCGTGTCAATGCTGCTGCTGTCTGAATCTGAAGCCAAGGTGTGCTCCGTGGACATGGAGGAAATGTCATTGGCTGACGACGACTGGGAGGCGGAACCTGACACCACATCTGCAACACGAGCCAACGGAAACCAACAGGTGCACGGTTAGAGAGATACGTACAGACCTCTGAATAGGCTGCATGCACGTGATGTCGTAACATTCTAAATAGCCTATCCATGGGTTTCAGAAATATGGAAAATTAAGACTGTTGCCATAGCGATTAGCAAATTAAAACAACATGCTATAACTTCTGAATGGAAAAAAAGTCCTCAAAATGTTGCCTATAACAGGAAGCTGAAACCCCTGAATAGATGAAAAATTTTCTTCAAACTGGCACATTGCAGATGTTTTGAGCTGTTTATTATTTTTTAAATATTGCTGTAAATACTGAACCTATAGACATGAAAAAACAAAAACAAACAAAAAACAAATGTTCCCTGTAAAAACAATTATTTTACAATTTCAAAAATGTTCAAATCATTGTAGAAAATGTTCAAATCATTATAGAAAAGTGAATTTTCCATTTCCAAAAAAAAAAAAAAAAAAAAAAGTATAAAATAATATATATATATATATATATATATATATATATATATATATATATATATATATATATATATATATATATATATATATATATATATATATATATATATACATACATATAACAGTCCATAGCCAGCTCCACTCTTTGTCTATCTAAAAATTTTAAATTGATTACATTTTTAAAAACAAATCCAACCACTTGCAGTAACAGCAAAGTTAAAGTATAAATTACATGAAAACATATGCTGATTTTTATAAGACCTGCTTGATTGGGTATAAAGAAATGTACAAACCTGAACAATCTTCTTTCATCAGTCCATTCTTATTCCTCTCTTCCCAGCCTATCACTTCCTCGTAAATGAGCTCTGCAAAACGGAAAACGTCAAGTACAATTAGAGAGGGCTAAATTAAATTCATACTAAGTGGATGTGGTTTGTGTTACAGTTTGTACTGTAGAGGGCAGTGTTTCCCACCTTTCCACTGCTCTATGCTGTGCTCTCTCTCCTCCAGCTGCTTATCAGAGATCTGGGGAGGAGGCTGTAGAACAAGACAAGAACAAACAGAAAAGATAAAGAAAGCTCTCTATATAAGAAGAGAACAGGATGATGTCATTATAATGAAAGTGAATGGGACTCACCGCGTCTGCCTCGGCTGGGTCGTACCATACGTGGATATAGGGGTGATTTAGGGCCTCCTCCACAGAGATGCGGCATTCAGGATCAATGACCAGCATTTTGGACAATAGGTCCCGGGCCTGACACGCTGTTATGGCAACGGTAAAGCGAGAGACCAGGGTTACTAAGGCAACAGCCCCATGACATCACCTTACTTGATGAGGGTGCTGAGAGATGACAATGTTGAGTAAGATTTCTGGTAATATAAAGCTAAAATTAGCTCTTTGTGGTACTGCCAAGTCTGCGGTCTACGGTAAGTCACAGCCACAATTTTCAACACATCTTAAAGATGCACTATGTAACCTTTTTGGTGGAGGGTCTGCCATCTCTCTGTTTCCAATGAGATATTATTGTTTTGCCTGGAATTGTTCACAGCATGGCATTAAAACATATTTATCTCATAAGACAAGCAGGGGCATCATCAAGCCAAGTTATAGGTCAGAGCTGTGGAGAGGTGAACCTGCTCACAGTTTGTAAATATGTTTTTCATGGGGATTTTGAGCAATAGAAAAACTTAAATACTTAAATAAATACCTTGATGTTTTCTGCAGACATGAGAAAGTACATTGATAGCATATAGATCTTACTTTTGAGTTTGTCATGTTCAGTCTCGAAGGGGAAAGCCCAATCCGGAAACAGTTCGGCGAAGCTGACTCCCGGATACTGTGGCCTGTTCATCACGTAGTTTCTGACAGTCTCCATCAGTCGGTTCATAAACTCCAGACTGGGCGTGCCAAGGACCTCAATTACCTTATTCCACTGGTCGATATCTGAGCACAGGGCTAGTTATGGAAAAATACGCTCCACTTGATTTGCTGGGTTTCAGATGACATCAGACTATTTAAAATGTATTTAACTGAGATGAGTCACTTTTCAATATACTTTTCAATATACTACTTGGAGTAATGGCAGTACTTTTCTTGATTTTGATACTAAGGAAAAGACAAGATATTTGATATAGATTTTAATACCACAATGATAATAAAAACTCTTACTTTTTATAAAGCAGAATGTAATTTTCAACACAATAATATTGTTATTTCTGTAATTGTACCATGCGGTCTTTTACCAGTTCTGAGCATTTCAACAAAGGTCAGACTTTTTTCAATATTGATACTTCAAGTGAGTATCTAGTTTTAATCTATTGTTTTGAGAACCCTACTTGTAAATGATTTGAATCTGATTAATTTGTGATTTATTTTTCTTTTGGATATTTTTTGGAATATTAAAAATACATAGAGAATAATTACTTAATTAATACTAGCTCCTGCCTTCATTCCAAGAGTGTGATATCAATATGAATGAACAAGCAAATGCTAAAGCTAGTGTCAAAATGGCAAATTTCGGCACAGTGTACAGGGGAGGAGATAACAAGAGACAAGAGAGGCAAACAACACCTGTTGATAAAAATGCATAAGTAGATGAAGACAGAACCACAAACATTAAGGGAAGAACATCAAGAGCATCAGGCAGAAGATAAGACTGAGGGGGAAAGGACAGAATAAATCAAAACGAGTGGTGTTTTTCTCAGGAAGGTGTGATGTGTGAGACATGACAACAGTGCAGGGAAGGATACGGTCAGTCCCCTGGAAGATGACGCTGCCTTTGACCATCTCTCCCATAATGCACCCCACCGACCAGATGTCCACTGTGATCAGAGACACGAGGCACAAACACAGGGACAGACGTGTTCAATACATGGTACACAACATTAAACAGGACCAGCACAAGATGGAGTGAAGGTCAGGCACATGGACTACTGCATGCTACAGCAGTGGTTTACAGCAACACCACCACACAATGCACCACATCATTTGCCTCGTTTTTCATATTCATCTTCAGCTTTTTTCGTCTTTTCTCTGGGACTTGTGAAACAGAAGCAGCCTCCCAAGCTTTCCTCTGGCCTTATCAGCTTACACAGCTGTCTGCCTCTCTCTCCGCGGGCATGTGCTCACTGCATACAGAGGTGGAATGAGCCTGCCTACCGCTCTTCTATTGGACTGTTTGTGTTAGAGAAAATATATATAGCCAATAAGCTCCTGTACAGCTTCTCTTACAGATAAAGCTAAGCCTTACCAGCTTGTCACAGCCTGATCTCATCAGATCTCAGAAGCTAAGCAAGGCCAAACCTGGGTGGTATTTGGTTGGGAGACCACTGGGAATTCCAGGTGCCACAGGGGGGCGCCAGTGGCAATACTATCATTGTGTCTTTAGGCAAGACACTTCACCCACATTGCCTGGTAAGAAAGTGGAGCATGCGTAAGTGTCGGTTGTGGTCGGAGGGGCCGATGGCGCAGATTGCAGCCTTGTCCCCTTCAGTCTGCCCCAGGTCAGCTGTGGCTACAATAGTAGCTTTCCACCATAGGGTGTAGAGTGAATGAACTCTAATGCGCTTTGCGTGTCTTGAAAGGCACTATATACATGCAATGATTAATTCATAATAATTACACTAAAAGCTCTATGCTCTAGCACTGCCTCCTCTCCATATCAATAATAAGCACTTAAGGTTAAGATGAGTTTACACTAAAGTTTTGAGACAGTTCAGTCCATATAACTGCTCTTGACTTTTTGAAGATTTTTCCTAAAATCTAAAAAAGGTTACTTGTAGACAGATGAAAACTTGAAAAAATAAAAAAAATTAGAGCCTCACACATCAATTACTAGAGATGGGTGCGTCGGAGGAGAGGGAGCAACCCAAGAACATGGAGAAAAATCCCGCACACCGTCTGACTTGCAAATTGTGAAATTCATTAGGACAAACCGTGCAACGTTTCGGCACTAGGCCTTCGTCAGGCAACCTGTTTGCTGACGAAGGCCTAGTGCCGAAACGTTGCACGGTTTGTCCTAATAAATTTCACAATTTGCAAGTAAGACGGTGTGCGGGATTTTTCTCCACAGACAGATGAAAACTGCAAGGGAAAAGAAAAGAAGTAAGGATACAGTCCTTCCCAGGAAAGAGGACTTTGTGAGAAATCATTTCAGCCATTATGCAGCCGACTGACCACAGGTCCACTGAAGCAGAGTCATGCAGAGTAAATACATGTGTAATGAGTTAAAGTTCTATAACACAACTCTCCCAAAGTGCAGTAAAACTCGTCATGTGCAATAATCAAATAGTCAATTCTTACCATTCTCCTTGTACTTCATGCCCAGGATGACCTCTGGCGCTCTGTAGTATCTGGTCACCACGTACGGAGTCATCATGAAGTTAGTGCAGGCTGTCCTGGCCAAACCAAAGTCCAGGATCTTCAGAGTGCAATCAGACTTTACTACTATGTTACTGGGCTTCAGATCCTGAGACACAAATACACAAAACAATATAAAACATTTTAATACAGTGTGTGTGTGTGTGTGTGTGTGTGTGTGCGTGTGTGTGTGTGTGTGTGTGTGTGTGTGTGTGTGTGTGTGTGTGTGTGTGTGTGTGTGCGTGTAGGTGTGTGTGTGTGTGTGTGTGTGTGTGTGTGTGTGTGTGTGTGTGTGTGTGTGTGTGTGTGTGTGTGTGTGTGTGTGTGTGTGTGTGTGTGTGTGTGTGTGTGTGTGTGTGTGTGTGCGCACATGTCTGTGTGTGTGTGTGTGCGTGCACGTGTGTGTGCATGTGTGTGTGTGTGTGCGAGTGTGTGTGCAGTATGCTGCCCTGACCCTGTGGATGATGCCAGCTGAGTGGAGATGCCTAATGCCACAGAGAATCTGGTAGAGCAGGTAGGACATCCTCTCATGGTCCAGGTCCATGTGGATCACCTGTAACAGGCTGGCATCCATCAGCTCCATCACCAGGTACCTGCATACACCACAGTATACAAATATGGAAATACAGTCACTTTACTGGATATTATCTGTAGCAAATTCATTGTCATACTATTCATGAACAGAAAACACATCTATTATTTATGTCCAGCAGAATCTATATGTAGTCATTCTTTGCCCACTGAGTAAACCCACATACTGCAGGTCATAATGTTATCTGAATCTACACCTACACACTTTACCGCACAGAATATAAAAAGTGAAACAACTGGACAACTGGACAGACAGTGCATACAAATCCACCAGTATATGAGGCTCCTGCTTATATAAACATTATTGTGTCTTTCAATACGAAAGACACAGTACAATACATACACAGCTGAATATCAAGTCAGTCATCTTTTTGGCAAAGCAGGGGTTAAGCTGGTCGAAAACAGGCCCATGGGAGCTTGATTCAGCTATATATTCAAACAGATATGATGTCATACTTTTTCCAGGTTTTATCTGTTTATAACCCTAGGAATGATAAAGACAAGTTATGAACTTTTGAACACTTTAAAGTGTAAACTGTATCTTAATTGAATGTCCACTAGTGACCCATGCATTAAAATTGGGTGCTCTACATGCATCTTTATTGGCAGAAGTTACCATGGCGATGCACACATTAGCAAACACAACAACACTGCCAAAAACACAAAATGGATTTTAAACAATGCATTTTCAGGAGCCTATGTTCAATACAAGTGTTTATGATATATGAGATGAGTAATTATACATGTAAGAGACTTGTTTAAGCACACAAATCATCTCACCTGCTGTAGTTCTAACCAAGTCGACTCTTTGTGGTCAGACTGTGCTAAAATAAAGCTCAGATTAAAGTCTAAATTGAGTAGCAGATCTTCTAACAGAGCAGTGCTTTAAGTTAGCCTCACACCCAATGGGAATATTGGTGACATCAAATGCAAAATATCAATGGACACAAATTGTCAGGACACTATATTCCTTCTGCTTATAAAGAGAGAGAAGAGTAGAAGTGAAAACGATACTAGGTGATTGACTGAAGTGCCTGAGTCATGGTGATCAGAGGAGATTCAGAGTTTTAAAGGAAGTGCCACTCACAGGTCCTGGAACTCCTCCAGAGACTTGTGAGGCGTGAATACATTGATCAGACGGATGATCTGCAACAAGAGAGATACAGCCCATTAGTCCACTCTGCTCCATCCACAAATACTGCACAGTGGAAGCAAGCAGCCCCGGGCACCCAAGTTAACACAACTTTCATTTGGAGCAAGAAACAAATGCAACTTTCCCCAACTAGAATCTTCTTTGTGGGTCATGCACATTTTTGACAATGAATTCTTAAAAAAAATCTTTTTAAAATGGTGTATGCTTTTTTCAGGTATTTAGTATGAACCTATAACACACATAGATAAATATTTAGCATTTTATTCATTATAATCTGCAATATTGTTCTAAAACAGCTTAATTTAAAAAAATAAATAAATAAAAAAAAACATTAATTAACTTCCTGTTCAAAACTGCAGAGATGATAGACCACAGTATCATATACATCCATTACCTGCTGTTGAAAAATGACTACATTGACAATTTTGAACCCTATGTAGCACTAGGCAGACATGGGTTGGGTGATAATGTGATTTTTCCAAGCACTCAAGCCTCTAATGCATTATCACAGAGGATTACTCAAATCTGCATGAATCAATTAAAATACAGCTGTGGGTTATACTATGTTTAAAAGCACAATAAAGTCATCTATCCTTTAACTGCTGGACTATTTTTTATAGAAGCTTTACTGTATATTCTGTACGGATCACATTTGTCATGGGTATGAGCAGAAAGAAGACTCACATTTTTGTGGTTGACACATTTTAGCAGCACCAGCTCTCTGTAGGCCCGTTTAGCGTGGGTCTGGTTCTGGAAAGGCCTACACAGCTTTTTCACAGCCACTGGTATCCCCAGCACAGTGTCTAATGCAGAGCTGCAGACAAAATGTACAGAAGACAGGAAAAGAAAGAACAAGTTAATTCATCAAAATCTGTGCATACGATCTACTATAGGTGCTACATTAAAGGGCCCATATCATGCTGTTTTCTGTTCTATGCTGTAATATTGTCACTTTTAAGTTACTCTGCCTCGCATTTTCACCTCTACAAGAACTTTGGTGTGTTTTCTGTTTCATTTTATAACATTGTTTCCTCATCACAAACATACCTGGGGTTGTGTTTTGTTTCATTCAGACATGTTTTACACACAAACCCTGCATATTTAAGCTGAGTTCTTCCCTCAAACAGAAAACACTCTGTACCACCTTTTGATGTCATGTGATAATACAGGAAGTGCGCCACTATGTTTTTAAACTCCATAAGGCTACACTAAAATTATTTGGATAATTTCAGCTCTGGAATTGCCCATCTCTAATAAACTAAAGGCAAAAGGAGACGTTAAATTAATAACTACCACTTCATGACATCACAAGGTGGAACAGAGCATTTTGAGCTTTGGTGATATAAACAGACTAATAATAAAGGATTACTTAAATGTATGAATGAAACAAAACACAACTCTAGGTATGTTTCTGAGGAGATAACAACATTCTTACATGGATTAAAGTTCACAAGAGTCAATTTTGTGTAATTTGAAGCAAAAATAAAAGAACTGAACTGTATAATGTTGAAACAGATAATAGGCAGGTACTGTATGCATAGATCTTGTTACTGACTGACTACTTCATAGTCATAGAGCCAGTATGATCGGACATAAGGATACATTTATATACAAAGTCCTTTGTATTCCACAATAGTACAGACAATGTTTAGTTTATTTATTTAATGGGGCAGGGACAGTGCACAATCTACATTAACCTTAACAGGAGAGATTTGTACCAGATATTGTACCAGGTGGTAGCACCAGTGCTAATTTCCACCTGTAGGAAGATTAATTGACCTTAGCTATCAGCTGTTCATCACTGGAGACCTATGTAGCATGTTTTGGGTTGATGGGGGAAACCAGAACGCCCAAAGTAAACCCATCCAGACATGGGGAGAAACATGCAAACTCCACACAGAAAGGCCAAGGCGTCCCGGGGATCGAACACGGAAACTTCTTGCTGTGAGGCATGAGTGCTAATATGTTTTTAAATGTGCTTCAAACATACATAAATGTGCTTAAAACATAGATATATTGAAATAGACCTGAAATGTAACTTGGCTTGTGATATTTAAGTTAATGGCTATATTGTGGAACATTTAGGAAAAGTAATAACATCTCTATGGAGACAAGCAGGCGGCAGACCCTCCACAAAGCATCTTTAAGATTTGGATAATTTCAGCCCTAGAATTGCCCATCTCTACTGAACGTAAGGTAAAAGGTAACTGTTAACTTGAAAACTACCACTTCATGACATCACAAGGTGAAACAGAGCATCATGTTGTACAAATTGTATTGATAATGCTCCATTGTGGCCATACCTGCTTGGCAAAGCCTGATCCTGTCAGATCTCAGGAGCTAAGCAAGGCTGGGCCTGGTTAGTACTTGGATGGGAGACCACTGGGAAATTCAGGTGCCACAGTGGGGCGGCAGTTGTTTGTGTCCTTAGGCAAGGCACTTCACCCACATTGCCTAGGATGAATGTGGTGTGTGTTTGAGTGATGGTGGTGGTTGGAGGGGCTGATGGCGCAGATTGGCAGCCTCACTTATGTCAGTCTGCCCCAGGGCAGCTGTGGCTACAATAGTAGCTTATCACTGCCAGGTATGGAGTGAATGAATAATGCTCTGTAAAGCGTCTTTGAGTGTCCAAAAAAGCGCTATATAAAAACTGATGCATTATTATAAAATGTACATAAAACTAGAACCAAGGTAACGCAGTAGTGAAATCAATAAAGTGACATGTGGCTCTTACCAGACGATGCCCTGGGCCCCGGAGCCGACGGCGCGCAGCTGCTGGTAGCGCTTGAGCACAGTGAAGGTGGAGTCTACCACCTGTACGCTGTAAAACTGTGTGTCCGCCTCACTCATCCTGCCCAACAGTTAGGAGCACCAGGGCTGTCTGTGGAAACACAAAAACATCCCAGTGATTGTAGAGACCCATGTTTGTGAGAAGGAGAGAGTCCAACAGTCTCCCTTCCTGTTGCTGTCACTGCTGTACATAACCATAGTCATAGCCTCTTATTGTACATTGTTTTGTAGCAAAGTTATCCTTCATGAAGTGTTGTATCTCTTTTATATAAACTTTTTACTCAATTTTGTATCTTGCATGTTTTACTTATATATTGAGACGTTAGATTAAATTTAAAACCACCTGTAATGTAATAAATCTAAGGTAGAACTGTAAAGGCAAAACTGTTTAATGTCATAATGTGGAACATTCCAGGCAGAGCAGTGACATATCCATAGAAATATTTGTGGGGTGAATAAGTTTAATTAAAGCATTTTTTATTTTATGGACTGTCTCAGTAAAATGTGGGAGATGTGGTAATTAAAGCATGTCCATAAACTGCTTGGTTGAGCTATAGTTACCACACAGACAGAGGAAAAGGACTGCAAAATGAAACGCAAAAGTGCAGATGATTTCCTTGTTTGGAAGATTACACAAGTTCTATTCTGTGGTTCTCTTATTATAGATGATAGACCCCTCTTTCTAATTTTGGTCCCTTCAAAATAAAATGTTTGCAGCCACTCAATAAATCTCCATTCTCAATACTGACAGACAAAACTTATTACATGTCAGTGTTATAGTAGTATGCATGAGTGACAGATTAAAGCCTTTTCCAAATGCTCTCAATTACTCATGTGATGCCCCGAAACCAGAGGTCCCTAATATGGCTCCATGTGTCAGAGGCTGGCATGGCTCTCTCAGTCTGAGCCAAAGATCGCTCACTGCTCAAGCTGTGGAGCTGACAAAGGTGCAGTCCAGCTGTAAATGTTTGTAACAAGAGAGAGGGAGGGAGACAGAGAGAGGGAGGGGTGCATGTGTGTGTGTGTGCGCATGTGCGTGTGCGTGTGAGCAAGAGAGAAAAAGAGAGAGGGAGACAGAGAGGTGGAGGGAGTTTTGTGTGTGTGTGTGTATGTGTGTGTGTGTGAGAGTTAGAGAGAGAGTGGGGGAGTGAGAGAGACAGGCTTAAGCTCCTCAGGCTGATGGAATCACGTTTCGTTCTCCCACATATGTCCATTACAAGGACAAAATCCAACTTTTCCCCAACTCAAATGGAGACAGTGTAATCTCCTAAACTGCTGTTCTGTCCTTAAATTATTTGGTCTCAGTGTATCGCAGGAATGTCACAAACACAATGAGAGAAGCTGTGGTGGAAGTTAAAGAAGTACAAAAGTGAAAGTACAATACTTTTAGTATCTATAATTTACAGTACATGTTACAGTAGATACTTTTTACTTTTACATTTTAAATTTTTTACATTTGAGAGCAGGTATCTGTACTACTCCACTACATTTTAGGACATTTAATTTATTTTAGTTATTATCCCAACTTTGAGCAAACCAAATACACAAATATACAAAAACAGCTAGAAAAAATAAGAAATCAACTGAATCACTTAAATCAGCTAAACTACATCCAGTTATAGTTATATAGTTATATAATTTTCATGGTTCAGCACCAATATTCACTACCAGTACAGCAATTGGTGCATCCCTAATTGAGATACTGTATGACTTGTGTAAAATGTGTCACTGTGTAACATGGAATGAATGCCATCTTAAAATGATATTGACCATCTGAGTAATAACTTAACTCTGAGTTACAGTATGATACCTTATGTTAGAAAGGGCACCTAGGCTTTTAAGAAACTTGCCTGCCACAACAGATGGTTAGGCTGGCCCATCTCTCTGCATAACACACGTGTGTTTTTGTGTGTGTGTGCATGCACATGTGTGTGTGTGTGTGTGTGTGTGTGTGAGATATCCACACAACAGCCTCAAAACTAAATATGTTTCAGGAGAAAGACCCTTTGGTCAAATAGTGAAAGAAGATAGGACTGGGAGGAATATCGTCACAAACATTTTTTGGTTTACTTGTTTACCTTGTGACTTGGATATGTAACATTTTCTACAAGGTCATTTGCCCACCACAGGAGGGAATAAAAAACGCTGTCCTTTGTTCTTGGCTAAAGTCATAATGATTGGACAGAGGGAATTTCTCATGGAAGAGAATAGAGATGGTCCCATATGGATTTCTTTCAGCCAATAACTGATATTTCCAGATATCATTATCAATATTTTAAAATTGGTGGCAAGGTCCACACATAGTAAGGTTGTAGTTACATTTACACTATTGTAGTTAACTTTACAAAATCACAGACATAAATAATAACAGAATATATTAAGACAACTAAGACATAGTTAAATGGGCTGTCTGCGATGTAATAGGGGACTATTTTTACAACATGCAGAGTGCCATGGATATTTCTTTTTGACTTAGCCTTTCAGGTACAGTCTCTCTCTTAGTTTGACAGAATTAAATTGTTATACTTTTGTTGATGACAATGTAAACTTTTAGCTAAGTTGCTCTTCTAGTTTCATTAAAAATAGAAAAAAAATGCATAAAATATCAGTCCAATACATTTTAATAATACTGATAGAAACATTCCCCGATATCATCAGTACCAAAATCTGTTTTCTGATTTTCTCAACATAATGTCCAAAGATTTCACTAAGAAATGCCATGAAATGATTTGAAGTTGTTTTGCACCATCAGCAGTCTGCGGTCCATCTGTCTATTTCCTTGAGTTTATTTCACAGCTGAATGAACAACATAAAAGCGTCAGGAGCAGGTGCAGGAGCAGGTCTGGAGCAGCCTCTATGAAAAATTATTTGTGTCTTTTCCCTTAGAACATACAGCTGTTTCTCTAACTTCACTAAAAAGAAAAAACAAACTCTTCTCAAGCCTCCCATAACATTTCTGCTCTCTTTCTCATTGTTCCTGCTCCTATGATTTCCAAAGTTTATGAGAGTTACTGATAGGGTTATCAAAAGGGTTATCAACTGATATGTTTCTTTTTTTTTATGACCAAGGCTGATACCAGTTGTTAAGAATCCAGAGCAACCAGTAACTGAAAAGCTTTACTGATATTTTTTGTCCGATATGCAGGGGCTGAATGTGATTATTTCCCTTGATTGTATTTTAATTTAGTACAGACTGGATAAGAGAGGTAAGAGAGCAGTATATTGTACACATATAGTCACATACAGTATATTGTACAGTAACCTCTTCATATCAAAGTGTTCAAATAAAGCTTTATGAATATGATTTAAACAGCTGGTTGGTCAAAGAAAAATATCACTCTCTTCTGTAGATATAAGCCGATATTCTAAAAAGTGTTTACATTGGCCTTATTAATATATCAGTCTCTCTCTACTCAAAAGTACAAGTCAGATACTAATCAGTATTAAAACTAGTATCAAAACTAGATACTATTTTGAGCAAGTATCAGTACTAAACAATCAATGAAATTTGACTCTTCCTGAACAATTTTAGTTATCTTAAGCTTTATCAGAAGTATATATGACCGGATGGTAACACATAATTAAAGTACTGTAACTGTGTGTTGATTTTTAAATATTTTTTTTTAATTTCCTTTGTGTTGAAATTGAGTTTGAATTTTTTGCGTCATGACACTAGTCTCTGTATCCTCACCCCTCTCTGAAGCGAGGAAGTTGGTGATAAAATATTAGAATTGTGGGCAGAGCCGTTCTGCATTGGCACAGAAAAATAAATATATGACTGCCGCAGCGTTGACTGTGTTGCCCGGGTCTCTAGACATGTGGCCTATATTTTAAGATTAATAGCACAAACTGTAAAAGCTCTATTTTACAATGCCTGCTACACACAACTTCCACACACAAGCCCCTACCACAAAGAACCATCTATCATAACCTGACAGACAATGCATTTTAATTGTCTGTACAAACTGAATAAAGTTGAGTAGATGCAGATATAAGAATGAGATCAGAGTTAATTCAATCCGTGAGGCAGAACATCACACAAGTATTAGGTTTTTGCGAGACATTCGGACTACATCATTGTGTCCAGACTACAGAATGGAAAAATATTTGCCTTTGGGTACAGGCACCTGGGTCACCTACTTAAAGAAAGCCAAAGTAAATAGGTTCTGTTAACTTCATATAGCAAGTCATTTCCAGTTGGACTAAAGGGGACTTATAAACACTATTAATACTTTATTCATATTAGATACAGACCTGAGATAGAGACCAGAGGTTTATTTCAGTCACAGGTATATTCTGCATCTATTCTATTCCTACATTATGCAAAATTGCCTCTCGTGAGATTTTAGCCATGTTATAATGTTAACTCCTCAAAATCATATCTGGAGTTGTTTTTTGCTTCATTCACATGTGCTTGAGTAATCCTTTGCTGTTTGTCTGTCTACATCTCCAACGCTGAAAATGCTCTGTTCCACCTTGTGATATCATGTAGTGGTAGTTTTCAGAGTAACAGCTACATACATACCACTAATTCACTAGAGACTGGCAATTCCAGCATTAAAATCATCCAAATGATTCTAATGATGTTTTATGACGTCCAAGAACACAGTGGAGTACTTCCTGTATTGACACATGACACAACAAGGTGGAACAACATTTTTGTTTGAGAAAAGAACTTAGCTTAAATGTGCAGGGTTTGTGTGTTAAATGTGTGAATGAAACAAAACACAACACCTTGTATGTTTGTGATGAAGAAAGAACACAACATTATAGCATAGATCAGAAAATAGCATAATATCGGTCCTTTAACATGTGTGTACAGGTACCAGATGTAAGCTTATTATGCCTACTTTTATTTCTGTCATAGCATCATTCATATTAATAAAAAATAGCTAAATAAATGAGGCAATACAATAACAATACAGCAGAGTACTGTAGAAAAGTATCATATTTCATCTGCACCGGGTTAACTATTTAGGTAAATTTTAAAGTAGAAGAGAGGTACACTATTTAAGTTTTTCTGTACAACTATTCCATATGTCCACCCTCTTAACAGCTATACAAAATTTCATAATATTTGTTTTTTTTAGAAACATGGCCGTACCTCTAACCTCATTTTGGCAATCTTGGATATTAAACATATTGTGTAATGATTTTACAAGACAACACTGTGCCAAAATATAGAAATATCAATACTGAAAGAACAAAGAAATACTAATTGTGATATATTGCAGAATACCACGTATTTTTTTTATTATTGCACATATCACTATTTATTACTATATATCGTGAGCCATGTATTGCATATCAAATCATGAGGGACCCTGTAATTGGCCTACAAATAACTGCATCTCATTTTTATCTATTTTTGTCATGTGTTTTGACTGTTTGAAGCATCTTTGAATGTCAAGAAAAATGTTATACAAGTATTATTATTATTATTATTATTATTATTAATTCCCCTGTCCTAGTTAAGTGTTGTGCAGGTCACATAAACTCTCTCATCAAAACTGTGATATGTTTTAGTTGCCTTTGCCAGTAAATGAGGACAAAGAAATGAAGGCCTACATCAAAGCTAACTGGGTTTATCAAATGCACTGTAGTGTATGAGTATTCTAACTGAATCTAGCCCTAACCCCTAACCCTCATCATTTGTATTTCTACAATTTTAACAAAGTGAAATTTCTATATGCTGGTTTTATATAGTATAATGCTGAATCAGTTGTTGCATCTTAGACTGTAAACAATAATAACAACATGAGGCATTGTCAGTAAGATTAATATCTGCTCTAAAAATGTAATTACTGTACAAAGAGAGGAGGAGAAGTTAACTACACATGTTTTCTCCCGTCCTCTGTCCAGGTGACTTGCGTGGAGAGTAGCCCTGGGCTCTGGGGGGAGAGGGAGCTGGCGGAGCTCAGTGAGATCAGATTAGCATGGCCCCCAGAATCATGCGACATAGACATAGACGCCATTAAGTGATGACTATATTGTTTGCTTTTTAAGTTATTATGGCGTTTGGGATAAGAAATATCTATGGTCTTTTTTACCCCTAGTTCACTGTATTTTGTATTATATATATATATATATATATATATATATATATATATATATATATATATATATATATATATATATATATATATATATATATATATATATATATATATATATATATATTGGCAATGGTGTTAATTTTGTCATCTAAAGACCTCTCTGATAAGGTTTAGAATAAAGACATGAGATGAGTGTAAGTATCACCAAACCTTAAATGCATTGTTCGGTAGGGTAAGGTTATGAGGGATCCTTTCATCTTCAAGGCATTTTATTCTTTTCAGAGCATCCTTTTTTTTTTTTTTTTTTTTTGACCCTTAACTTAATAGGGCCCAGTGCAAATGACGACAGCCTAGACATGCCCTGATACGTATAGCCTTTTGTGTGCGTAAAGACACAACCTACAGTATGCAAGTCATTCAGCCACGGTAATTACAAGTTTATAACATGACGTATGGAGACGTAACATCTGCATATCACACCAAATAACCTAACGTTACACAATTTTGAAATAGACATTTGGTTTAACTATTTCAAATAATTGATTTGCGCACAGTCTTAGGTCTACGATAGACTCTAGGTAGCCTATATAACACTACAGTAATGCCGACAATCACTGTTAATCTCCTTAACTTTGTCTGTCTCTGGTGAAATAAGGCTCACGTACACACATACGCCTCCACACAATCGCACACTTGTACACACACACACGGAGGTATGAAGTCACTCGCGTATGACACACCGCCGCACCGCTGGCACTCCGCGGCTTATACACACGCACACACATACGCCCCGCACACAACTCGTAATCATCTTCTACTAATAGATTTGGGCGTACATTTGCCATGATAGCAACCCGGCCCGTATTGTACATAGAGCTTTGTCTCGGTTGCATTGCGGTACTCGGGCCGGAGCTGAACTAGACTCGGACGAACAGACAGGCGGCAAGGACCTACCTTCTCCTTTGCGCGCTCCGATGACACTCCCATGCATCGAAAAATAAAGTAAATTCTCTCTGTCAGTATAGCACACACAGTAATCTGCCCCGAAAGTGGAACAGGACGGCTGTCACGACGGCTCTTCTCCGGTGAAGAGCTAACTCCAGCGGCAGCGGAGCGCGGAGGAGCGGAGCGCGGCGGAGCGGAGCGCAGGGAGGATCACCGCCACAACAAGCAGTGACGTCATCGCGCACGCTCAACGCTGCCATCAAAAGTTGCATTCAAGAAAACTTTGGAAAAACTTTAGGATTTGAAGTATTTATTCCAGTTTATTTATTGTGCTATATTCAATAGCCAGGCCAATAACTTTACATAGTTATTTTCCCAAACCAAATGTTTTCATACAAAACATACAATGTATTCATGTACAAACCCACTTTTAATCCCACTTTAAACAAATAGCCTATAAGGCTACTCCATAATAACCCATAAAGTTGTTACACACATAAAAGGCATGTCACTGTTTTCCATTTAAATAATAATTGCATTTGAAAAGGCCTCCTTCTATAACAGTAAACAATTAGTTTCACTTGTACAGCTCTGTCCACCAGACCATACATTCAAAATCACAATAAAAAGGTCAAGTAATAGTGTAATATAAGACATCATTGTTATGGTGGGTCTTCAAGAGACAGCGGCTTTGTTGCAGTAGAAAGCATAATAATCGTATAGTTCATATTCAAATTGTACAGTTTCATATTAAAATAAAATATATCCCAGATCAAAGATTTTGAAAAAGCCACAGAAAACAAAAACAGTCAACTTCAATCATCATGTACATTCATAATGCACTTTTAGGTCTTATATTGCACAGTAGCAAACACCTCTATATTCTAGGTAAAGGTGTTTCATTTGATTTTGGCTCAACTAGAGAGAGGAAGGCTTAGTGAGTTGCTTTGGTCCTGAACTTATCTGATTGCAGATTGTTCCATGTTGCATCACTGGTACTGGCAGTGTACTGGTTATACTTCACATTCAAAAAAAAAGGAGTAGTGCTAAAAATCTCCTTCTTTAGTCACATGTCTCACACACATCGCACACATCGCAAACATCACACACATGAACATACACTAACATACACAATTAAACATTCCATTGCACAAAAATATTATTAAAATATGTTTTCTTCTCTTTGGTACTTTGTAAACTTTTCTTACTCCACCGTCACAGACTTGGCCAAGTTTCTGGGACAGTCAACCTGCAAAGGATAAGAATTATATTATTATTAACAAGGACATATTAATTTAGTTGAAAATATACTGTACAGATTTAAATGTGTAAATGTGTATGTTTTACTAAACCAAGTGATATAAGAATTCAACAGTATAGAATATTTCTTGTGTTTTGTCTACATATGATGTAACAGCAAGTTGTCCTTACATCATATCCCCGGAGGACGGCCAAGTGGAAGGACATGAGCTGCAGTGGGATGATGCTGAGGATGCCCTGTAGACAGTCCACTGTTGGGGGCAGTGCAATCGTCTGGTACGCATTTTTAGTCAGCTCAAGGTCATCCTTGGAGCATATTATAATTGGCCGGCCCTGGCAAACAACACAGTAAAGTTAAACATGAATGCAGAAAGTGTTTAACTGTTGAAAGTTTAGAGAACGTACCGATCTGGCAGTGACCTGCTGCAGAGCATTCTGACACTTAATGTAGCATCCATCTTTCATGATGATCATGATAACAGGCATGTGTTTGTCCACAAGAGCCAAAGGGCCATGCTTCAGCTCTCCAGCCAGGATCCCCTCTGAGTGCATGTATGTGATCTCCTTGATTTTCTACAGATATAAGGTTTAACTGTGTTACTTTCAAAATGCCAACAGTTTTATAGCTGGGTGACCCTTTTCACTGTACTCACCAGTGCTCCCTCCAAGCATGTGGCATAATTGAAACCTCGTCCCATGACCAAAAGGGACCTCTGCTGATACAGTTCATTGGCAATGGTCTTGATCTTGTCATTCAAAGACAACACCTCCTTTATAAGGTCTAGGATAGAAAGATGAGTTGAGTATAAGTATTGCCATATTTCAAAAGCATTGTTAGGTAACTGCACTGTTGTAACAGCACTTATGTTGCTCTGTAATGTAACAATGCTAACCAACCTGGCAGTTTTTTGAGCTCAGCCATGATCTCGAGTCGTCTTTTCTGGTGGGAAAGTCTGTCCTCGCTCATCATCAGGCCAAACATGATGAGAGCCACAAACTGACTGGTGTACGCCTGAACACACAAACACAATGTGTAACATTTAACATTATGCTGCACAGTAATACAGGGATATAAAGAGTTATTTGACAGTACGGCAGTCACTTTCTTGTGTCGCTATGGTGATTCCATTACCTTGGTGCTGGCAACTCCGATCTCGGGGCCTGCGTTGATATGCACTCCACAGACTGTTTCTCTGCAGATGGAGCTGCCCACTGTGTTAGTGACGCCCACAGTCAGAGCTCCTCTGTCCTTACAGTAACGCAGCGCCATCAGAGTGTCAGCTGTCTCTCCTGTACAGTACAAAGACAGGAGGCTCAGCAATGGACAAGTATAAGGTGTGTACACAGAATTCATATTATGAGGAGAAATCTATAATGTGTAACGGTATTTCAATATTGAAATTGGGAGTTCTGATAATACAACTATATATCTCACGTATATACTTCGTATCATTTTGAGATAGAGGTTTGATTAAATTCAAGCACGACAGTAAACATCATGACAACCTTTAAACTATCTATGGATCACAGCTTATTTTTGATGATCGTTTTGAAATCATTGGAAACCTGTAATGTTTTGGCAATAGTGTTCATATTTTATGTTAATGTTACACACATCAAATAGATCCACAGAGCACACAGTAACTGAACTGCTCTTTTTTTTTTTTTTTTTTTAGCAAACTAGATCTGTGTTTCTCTGCATACTCATGTCAACGCTGGATCAACCAATAGCATTTAGCTTTATGCCATGGCCTGTTGTTTTAGGCATTTGTTACCTGACTGGCTGATGAAAAAGCAAACATCATCTCTGAAAACAGGTGTGATTCGATCTAAGAAGTCACTAGCCAGCTCCACCATGACAGGCAGCTCTGTCAACTCTTCCAGGATCTGCCTCGTCTGAACAACAAACAAATGCAGGTTAATAATAAGTACTAGGGATGTTTATAATTACTTAGCTAACTTATCAGCCAGTTTACTTACAGCCACTGCAGCATGAAAACTGGTGCCACAGCCAATCATAATGAGTCGCCTGCATCGTTTGATCTCCTTCAAATGATCTTTCAAACCGCCCAGTATCACTGCAGAGTAAAACCACAGGCATTTATGTTAAACAAATATGTACTCTGGGCCAACAGATCAGACACACTTTTAAATATCTTTGCATAAGGAGTGCCATACTGTTCAATATTAAAAGTATAATAATATAAGATACTACACTTACACTCATTGTTACACATCTGGTATTACTCACCAGTGTTGGAGTCAAAACAGATTCTTCCTCTCATGGTGTTGACCACAGACTCGGGCTGCTCAAAGATCTCCTTTTGCATAAAGGCATCAAAGTTCCCTGAATAAACAATGGAGACATTAAGATTTTCAGCACAGTACCTCATTCCACCAGCAGAGGGAAACCTTGCAAGTAAAAATTACTACAATATGCATGGGATAACAGGTTTGTCCAGAGTCGAACATTTAATCCAGGATTTGATTACGTGCACCAGCCAGAATAAATGATGCAGAAAGATTTAATTGAAGAAGTTTAAAAGGTTTCTATACAAGTATTTTTTTCTTTATGTTTATAAATGTTTTTGCTGTAACACACCCATAATGTACAAATGACAAAATCTGATTAGGGAAATATATACCCCCCCCAGTGCATACTGTTTTTATTTCTATGGACACGGCACTTGCCCATCTTGCCATCGGCATCTGCAAATGTGAAAATCATTGGATATGCATTCTGTATGATCAATCATTGGGATCTAATGGTAAAGGGAGTGTAATGATAATGCATGTGTGCTTGTCAGACCTTTCATGATGTGCTGTAGCTCCATCTGCAAGGTCTGAATGGCTCGGACAGGGTCTTCTCCAGCCTGACGGTTCATTCTATGGATGGACAGCTCTCCTTTGGTCACCACAGCAATGTCGTCATCTTCCAGGTACAGCACTTTATTGGTGTGCTCAATGATGGCACTGTTGACCCATGGCAAATACATTAACATTTACACAGTGATAAGAAACTTTCAATGAGTTAAGTCCCCGTGACAGATTTATATGTTGTTGTTTTTTTTTTTTTTTACATTGTTGTTAATTGTTACATCAATTAACGAGATAGTATATATGGGAAATATTTATCACAGTTTTACAACAGTCAACAGGCAGCTATAAAGAAAACTGTGAAAAGAGGAGGAAGTTGTGCTTAGTTCCAAAAAGCAGATCCTCCATTAATTCAATTAATTAATTAATTAATTAAATCCTAAATGCATGGCTACTCTAGGACACATTTTTCTGACATTGATTTAGGAAAATAAACATGTATAAAGGTTGTAAATTTTTATTTGTCAAATAACAATTATTGTGTAAAGTAAAAGAGCTTTGGCCTTGTGGATACACAGTTATGGAATTATCTCTAGATACTCAATATCACATCTGCAGCCCATGTCCAACCAGGAAAAAAAAAATTAACTTTTTATCCACTACTTTTTAGTGAATGAGTAGCCTAACCTGTTAAAGCACTCAAGGCTCAAAGAACGGGGTGTGGCTGTACCTGGCATCAGAGGCAAAGTAGTACTCCACTGCTCTGCCTTCTCCTGTGGATTTCATGGAACTGGAACTGTTGTGGTGGTTTTTCTCCTGAACTCCATTGATGTGTGCTACATGGGTCAAAGAATCAGAGGTTACACAGAATATCGCCATCACAAGTTCTTGAAAAGTGAGGTCCCGACTGTACAGGTTAGTCATCTGATTTATCGTGATGTGGTTAGAAAAGAATGGCATATAGACTGTGACTATTAAGAATTATAGAAACAAAATGACAATCACACAAAATAGATACTCTGAAAGAAGTACTGTGTCATAAATATAGCTTAAAATGACCAAATCAAGCATTCATATCACAGAAATAAGTATTAAAATCTAGGGGATAAACTCATTAAACCAAAAGAATGGTTCAAATTGATCTCAACGGCATATCAAGTGATAATACGTTTCAAATTATTTCACTTAGGTTTATAAGCTGTTATAGTGTAATTAAAATGAAACACTTTAAATGAGCCTTGAATGTTACAATGCAGTAGCACACCCAGTACTCTTGTCTGCAGAGCACGGGCTGCCTTGGACTTCGCCCTGGTCCCAATTGAACTGTCATAAACCATAAAATGAAAACAGAGATAAGACACTAAGGTCAACGTAGAATACACATGCATGGACAAGAAAAGGGATGACACAGGAAACCTTCATATGAGGAGCCTGATAAGAGTTTGATATCACTTTGTGTCTAGTATTATTCAAGAGTGAGGTCATTCATTTTAGACACTGCCCTTTGAAATCATATTAACAATAAAGTGGAATAAAAACACAATTGCGCCATTCATTACTTGTGCTGTAAACAAATTTAGAGTGAAAAGATATTACTTGTGATAGTTAAACATTAGAGGCTTCTGGAACTATACTGGTTGGGCTTCATTCTGAACTTATTTCACTAATTACTGCGGGTATTTGTCAAGTTATAGTAGGAACCACATACAATATGTTATGTAAGTTTTGTCTTATTAAAAGTGTTTGTTAAAAGGTCTTCAAGCGTTTTGTGATTACGATGAGTTCCTGGCCATTGCTTTGACTGTAATATACCTCCCAATAATCATTTTTATTCATATGCAAAAACTACTCACAAAAATACATGAGATTCAAGTAAAGATAACTTAATTCTGTTGCCATAGAAATAAACAATTTGAAGCAAAATATTTAGTCTTTTCACAAATCAAAAGCCTTGAAACCTTGAAATTATGAAAATAAGAGTCAAATGTCAATGTGCATAAAACCCATCATTACTTAGGCAAGACACAGGAATTATTAATAGACATAAACAGTAATATCTGATCATCATTCTGTAAGGCTACTGGAAAAAGCACTTTACTCCTCAACAGCCCCGTCAACAAAAAAACTGGGGTTCCGGGGCAAGAAACCTCACATAAACACCCTTCTAATATAAAGTTAGTTCAATTAGGACTTACCAGAGTTGTACTGCACTGGGATCTGCTCAGTGGAGAGCTCATGTTCACTGCGCACACCGATCAGCAGTGGACTCCCTCTTCTGCAAAGACCATACAGAGACAGGCAACTCAGAGCACAACTCAATATTATCACATTTGTTGTATGTTGTCATCACAACATACTGAAATAAATACATGTTTTGCAGCAACAGATAAAATAACCAAGGGAACTACATAGACCATGATCCTTTGCTCAATTTCAGCACAGACAACATGAAGCAATAGGCTTAACAGTATAAAGCACACTTTTATGTTTAATTCTTTGGAATATGGTAGTAACAATAACACCAATTTCTTGTCAATGCATTTAAAAAAGAAAGAGTAACATATTAAAAATTATCTTATTCTCACCAAAATATTGCAATAAACATAGTACCATGAGATCTGAATATTGTTTTATACTTAATACACTCAGCGGCAATGTCAAACCACAGCTCATGTAGTAACACAAGAGCCCACATTATGACAGACAAACAAAAATGTGATTGCTTACACCTGGTTGTTGTAGCATGCAGCTCCTCACCAAATCATTTCTTATCAGTTTGTATTTATCTAGCTCTGGGGCTGGTACAAACTATGCAGTCATGTCACTCATTGCAGCGAAATTGATGATATAATATTCACATGAGACCTTTGCCTGCACTAATGGTTACAAGAAGGTGTCTGCTTCATTGCTGGCAACATTTGTAGTTTATATAGCTACGTAGATAGTGAGTTATAAAACTTTGAAATTACAGTGTACATAGCCTACTTTTTTTTTAAATAAAAGGGTTAATATTATGCTATTTTCTGTTCTATGGTTTAATGTTTTTCCTTACCAAAACCATTGTGTTTTGTTTAATTCATACATGTTTAACACACAATCCTGCATATTTAGCCTGAGTTTTTTTCTCACTCAGAAAACACTTTGTTCCACCGTGCGATGTTATGTGGTACAGGAAGATCTCCACTGTGCTTTTAACCTCCATACACTTTCATTTCAGCACTGGAATTGCCAATCTCTAATGAACTAAGGGAAAACACTGTATGTTAACTTGGAAGCTAGCAACACATTTTTTATTTAAATTTTTTTTTTTTTTTACTTATCCATAAAGACCATGCAAGAGGCTAGGAAAGGAGGTAGCTATGGAAATCTGAACTGCTACATGTATCTTATTTGGCAGCAAATCTGGCAAAAGGTATTCCAGAGGAAACACTTAAACGGAATGGATCATTTCATCATGGCAAAACTGCAACAATTTGGTGCAGCAAAATTTGATTTTTAACTTGTGATCAACTCTCTCGCTACGTGACATCACTAGGTGGAACAGAGCATTTTCAGCTTTGGAGATGTAGACAGACTAATAATAAAGCATTACTCAAATATGTGGGAATGAAAAAAAAAAAACCAACAACTCTGGACATGTTTTTGATGAGGTATCATTCTAACAAAGCTTCAACCTCAGAGTCAATTCTGACTAATATAGGACCTTTAACAAAGACAAATATATCAATATTTTAAAAAAAAATCAACACATCTACATTATACATACAACAATAAGAAGAAAACGGTGTAATTATTTCTCAAATAAACTCTCTTTCCACTGAGCCTCACACCACTTTCTCACATTGATCCTATTCCCATTCTTGTCCATAATGGCTCTCCCCTTGATTTATCTGTAGCTGTGCTGACGTAAGACAGAGAGTTGTTTTAAGGGGTGTGGGGCTTCAGAACTAAGCTTGCAAACAGAAACATGTGGTTGCTCTCCCAAACAATTACCCACAGGGACTGAGGCAGTGTCAGGGAGAATAAGAGTGAAAAGTAATTCAAGGTATTGTAAAGAGAAAGAAAGCCAGTAATGAGAAACAATAACCGCATGAGAGCAAATACACTAACAGTATTGAACAGCACAATGTTGTACCTTGTATTGCTATCTAAAACACTGTTTGTTTACTTTGACTGCCTGGCCACTACTTTCACTTTTTATATCTCTGTACGTTCCTTTTAGATCTATCCTTTATATACTATATGTGTTTTCTCTCAATGAGTCGATGAGTCTTCAGATCCAAAAATTGCTTATAATCATATACTGTTTTCAAATGATGAGGACTTAGGAGTGTTGCCATAGAAATAAACAATTCAAAGCAAAATATTTCAACTTTTCAAACTTCTGAAATGGCATACATAACAGGCACGTTTGTGTGAATGAAAACCATAAATATAGAGATGGATAAACAAATAATCAAAACCTGGAATAACAGGGAACACAGGGTTTACAGAGACAGGACACTTATAACTAAAACAACTTAATAACTAACACTAAAAACAAATTGTCAACTGAAAGCACCATGTTTTAATAAAAACGCACATGCTTGTACAACTCATCTGGAAAGAACAGTGACCTGTGTTATCGTCAGCAACGCTGGAAAAAAGTAAGTAATGTAATACACAATGACTAAATAAAAGAAATCTCCCAAAAAATCAGACATGAATTGCTTCATAGCAGCAACAAAGATGACTCATTTCTAGTGGGACTACGCCAGTGAACGTACTATGACTAGAGCCAAAACATAGTGTATGGATACTAACCTAGTGGACACGGCCTCCCCAGGGAAATGGCGACTTTTAAACACCAAGGCAAAAGCCCCTTCCTGAAAAAGAGAAGGGAAACATAAGGATTAGGTTAACACTTGAAAAACGACATGCCTTGAGTCATATGGTGTAATGTAGCGCAGACAAACAAACATTTCATCTGTGGGCTGGTCCTGTGGCCTTTGGCAGTGGTGGAGTGGGCGTGGGTACAGCCAGTATGTGGGGGGTGTAGAGAAATAAGACTGCTATTGTACAACATCAGCTGTGTTTCGAAAGCCCCTGCCTGTGGTGGCTCTGGGACAATGATTCGAAGAAAGCACAAGTTTAATTTGGGACAGAGGCTGAACTAGAGAGCAGTAGATTTAAAGCTGCCAGTAAAATAGCTTGAAATACCAAGGTTTTGGTTTGAAGTGTAAGTGGAAAAAGACTTGTTGTTATCTTTTTGTGACTATAGACTGTTCTTTTGCTGCAGTCGGAGGAAACTGAAGTCATGTTACACTTTTTTAAAAGGTGTTGTTTGTAACTTTTCTGATTGTCTCCATGGAGATGTAATTGCATCGCCTCCACGGTATGTCATTAAATCAAGTGGTGATGGCAGAGTAAGATAAGTAAGATAGTACACCTGTATAGATAAACCACATGATTTTCTACAGTGTTCTGGGCTTGAGACTGTAAGTGAAGCTTTTGGGGTCAACACAAGTATGCTAGCAGCTGCAGTTGCAAAAGTAACAAGGAAGTGGCTGTAGTATCAGAAATAGAGGAATTATGAGATTTTTTTTCACGGTCACATCAAATTAGAGCTTTCAGGGTGACACAAGCATTTCCACAAATTAAATCACATCCTTTGGTTTCAGACACCAGCACCAAAGTGGGTCTGTATGATCCATCAGTGACACAAACAGGACACGTGCTTGATTTATGATTCATGATTCCATTAGTTGTGGAAATATTATGAAATAATTTAGCTACAAATACTCACCAGCTGCTTAATCACCCTCTCGACCAGTGTGGAGAAGGTCACTTCGTCGTTTTCTCTGTTGTCATAAATGTATTTGATGAGTTTGGGGATCACTTCGGTGTCAGTCTCAGACTCAAACTCGTATCCCTTGTTGATCTGTAGACAAGAAGAGAAGTTGTAAATGTTTGTCTGAATAAGCTGTGTTAAAAACAAGGATAGGGCAAATACAGTTCTCTTTCTATATTTTATTTGTATTTGTACATATGCATTTGTATAATTATGCCATATTTGACACTAGTATCTTGCTACTTATTTTTAATTTGTAATTACCGTTTACCATTTTGCACTTTATTATTATATTTATTGTGATGTGTGAGCTACTGTGTCTAAATAGTTTCCCTTGTGAATCAATACAATTTGTGCCTAAGTCTAAGCCTCTAAATCTATTTTCTATTAATACAGACCAGGTACTCCCTCAGTTCTTTGTAGTTGGTGATGATGCCATTGTGGATGACGACAAATTCTGAAAAACAGTTCAAATCAGAGAAGAATCTAGATAAATATTCCAGATTGTCTGGCGTGCCATTCGTTCTATGCTAAGTTTGAACAAGTAGAAAATATTTAAATTACATGGATCTAAAAATAAGACTGAATAAGTAGCTGTAGCAAGTCTCACTACACCCTGAGCAATGTGCTGCGTCCTGTTTAACTAGTTTGTTTTTGAATGACGTGTCACATACTGAAATGTGATGTGGACAAAGCAGGTGCCTTTAAAGTGATGTGGGAGGAGTAATGGAGTAATTGTTTTCTGGTCTAAGGGTCTGTTTAGAGCCTCATACCATTATATGCGAAACAAGTCACACTGCAAGTCTATTGAGTTATAAAAGAGTGTAGGTTCATGTCTTGATGCTATTGTAAACCATTTACTAACTAATACTTGTGCCATGATGGTATATTAGTGCATAATATAGTACTGGCGTATCCACTTTGTGAACAAGAACTGGCAGAATGTTGCTATGGTAAATTTGGTATTTGTTGAGTCATATTTCGTTTGTTGTTCTCTGTTTTCTGTTGTCCTCTGACACAATTTTCAATCAAAAATATTTTTTTTTAATTTTAAGAAGCCACGACAAAATATACAATCATGGTCTGAAAGGGAGAGCTAAATGGTGTTGAAGTAACTACTGTAAATTTACCAGGTTCCCATTAACACAGGTAACTGAATATGCAGAAATACGTGAAGTGAGCAACATTCTCTCAAAATGAAATGTCTGACAAAAGTCAAACAATTCTTGATATTTTTTAGAGATTTCCAACAACCATTTTCAAATGAAATTTTGTCAATCCAGCAAAAATGTGCTAAATTAAATCCTAAATGTGTTTATTGAAATGAATCACTTTATAGCCTTACTTGGACTTTTTACATCTTTATTTTACTCATGTGTTAATATTACCTATATTTTGATAATGTGCTGACCTCTTGTTCCCACCAGAGGCATATAGGTGTGCAGGTGCCTTACCATTGTCCTTGTCGGAGCGATGAGGGTGACTGTTCACTGGACTGGGCTCTCCATGAGTGGCCCAGCGAGTGTGAGCCAGACCAAAGTGTGTGTTCAACTCCTGATCCAAGTTTAGGGAATCTTTCTCTGAACAAAACACAGCAACAAACAATTCTGAATACATTTACAGGTATAATTTTGTAGTACTGTGCCATTATCAAAGAAAAGAAACATTGGCAGCAGTATAGTAGTGGTAGTAGAGGTGATAATAGTAATAGCACACAAAGCAGTGTTAGTACTAGTGATATGTTTAAATGCTATTCCGGTTAAGAAACAGTTTTTTATTATTCTCTAATTTCTGCTTAATTTGGTGGGCTAGACCCTGTTGTAATTATCAAAGATACACCAATTGACAAGCCATTTGTTAAGAAAAGTTGAAAAATATGTTGAAAATTACAGGAAGAGATATAGAGCCTTCTATATTGATGACATCACGAGGGAGAATTCTCTCCAAAAGTTTGACACAATTTATAAGTAGGAAAAGCATTTTTTCTGATACTTTAAACATGATTTCTATAAAATAAAGGTGGTTTCTTAAGTTAAACAATTAAGGAATCGCATAGCGTGATGTCATGATTTCTAATCAGGAAGTAAAATTTGAAACCTAAGAAAATGCCTAAACTAGGTGAAAAATGCTAAAAAGAAATGTATATCTTAAATTTAATGATCTTAAGTGTGTTTGAGTAAAATAAGTAGTCTAACCTGTCATAGGCACTTTAAGTAATTGCGCGTTTGAGCAGCTCATTGTGCGATTAAGTTGTGTCACTTACTATAGAGCTCCTCATCCAGTGCTTTGACTTTGCCCGTCTTCTTGATCAGACAGATAGAGTTTCCATTGATGTCTGTAGTCTTGTTCGGTCCATCCACAGCCACGCCTGAAAAATATTTGGATCAGACATATGTTAAAATTGAACTAATTTAAGTCACATAATGCCATCAAACAAACATCCTGCTCAAATAGGATGAGCAAACACTGTTCACCTGAGTGAGTTTATGGCACCCACAGGGACATTGCAAAAGCTATAGAATCTTAGACCCTCTACACAGATCAGGAGAGGGGTTTCAGGCACTGCACTGTTGTCACCCATTCCCCACAAAGGCATTACAGGATTGGAACAAAGTACATAACAAATTTAGCTTTGGGGACATACATACAACTGTACCTTATAATCTATCGCCTTACAGAGAGTGAACAGCATTGTACTTAAGTTACTTTCACAGTAGTTTAAAATATCATAAAGCCTTATAAAGGTTTTCTAATATGTTTATATGTGCCACTGAGACAAAACTTGTTCATCCTAATTTGCAATTGTGGGAGTGCAATGCATTGTATCCCAAACCTTCTATTCTCAATTGTTGCCACTGTTGCCTAGAATGTTCTACAAAATGGCATATAACTAAGCAATTTCCATGGAAACAAGCAGTGGACTCCAAATCTCCAAGCCATGCATTTCTTGTCAATAAAAATGTCTGTAAATGAATAATTAAGATAGAATTCAATTGAATAAATAGGTAGATAGATAGATACATTTATACCATACAGTGGAGGATTCAATGCAAAGTTAAAATAATTTCAAGAGACAGGCAGGTCACGGACCCTCCACCTGGAAGCTTAATGCACCTTTAAGGCAATACATGACAAACCACCTCCAAAGAGAAGGGTGTTGTAATACAAAACTCCAACACTTATACTCATCATTGCACTATTTCAGTGTACTGGTATTTTGGATGTAAGAGTAGGCCAACAGTGCCTTCTGTGTGTCTGCTCATACCTGCTGAATCATAGCCCCTGTACTCCAGTCGCTGCAATCCCTTCACCAGAGTTTCAAATATCTCCTTTCTGGTGCGTGGCACTCGGTAATTCAGGTAAGCAAAAATTCCTAGGAAAAGAGACAGAAATAGTTTAAAGAGATGATGTGGGCAAACTTTACACAACTACTGAAATGTCACTGCTGTTTGATTTACACTGAAAGGGAGCAAAGCCTGAATTACATGCTAAAATATTTGCTCTCCTAAATTTTGTATTCTAGAGCATGCTTTGCTTTTTGTAGTTCTATAAACAAATTAGAGCAATGGTGAGGCCTATTTGTAAAAAAAAAAAAAAAAAAAAAGGAATTATAGCTGTAAATGTAAAAGTAGAAAAGTAGCAATAGTAGAAGAAGAAATAGCAAAAATAAATATGTACTGTATGAGTATTTTCTTTACATGTTTCCAATTTGCAAAATAGGCAATATTTACTTATTGATGTGATTGATTATTGATTCAACAACACTTTTTAAGTTATTATTCAGTTCTTGTCACAATAAAACGCATCCATGCGTCTCTAGTCGACTTTACACTCATGTTTTTCAGTCAGATCTCTGGATTGGAGCCTGTTGCTCCCTACTCTCGCTGTGGGACGCTGTAGGAATGCTGAGGTCTACCATCACTCTACGTGCACACACAGACGCCCATTGAGAGACGCACATTACGCGCAGTGTTGGAGCACAGGGTGAGTGTGGACCATAGACTGTACATAGAAGTGGACCGAGGTAAACTCCAACCTTGGCCTCTCCTTTTGCAGACTCAAGGGAATGCGCACAGACACGGTTAACGATTGACTTCTCGCTCATAAACGTCTCCGGTGACCGGTCAGTTCCACAGTACGTGGGGACTGGGGAAGAGATGAAATAATGCGAGTGCGTGTTCAAAATATAACACAGCGTACATCACATAAAAATATTGTTTTCATTATCATCTGTAGCCTAGCCAAAGAAAATTGACACGTAGCAGTGGTGCTTAAAACCACTTACGGATCCAGTTCTTGACACAAAGCAAATGAACAGAAGTCTTTCTGTTTTGCTTCTTGTCAAAATGTTCTTTTATACTCTCGTACTAAAAAATGCGTGTTGTCATTCTCAGAAAATCATGCTATCCGTTCTTCCAGTGAGGGAGCAGATATTCAAAAGGTGTCTTACCGCACATCGCTCAGTCTTTGGCCTCAAGTTTAGGGAACGTGTTCTTCTGAGCTGTCAAACTATCGATACGTCAGTGATGCTATACTCTCCTTAGATCCGAGCGAATGCGCGGTCCGACACACTCCCACTAAGCATTTAAGCGCTGTTTCCTGGAGGGAGCAGGCCCCTCCCTCCCCCGCTCTGTCCGGACGTCCCGCTGTACCGGCCCAGCACTGCTCCGCCACATGGGTAAGGTGGACCACTTTGACGCAATTAGTCGTTCGACCAAACAAGTTTTGTAAGTCATTCAGTGATCATCTGTTTTGAATAAAAGTGGACTGAAATGTTACGTGCGCACGCTCCTAAATATGAGGAAGTGGACAGGTGAAAACAGGCGAGGCAATTATGTTAGGGATCACTTTTATATGGACTGCGTTTAATTGAACTTAGTTTAAACTTAGAGAAAATAAATATTTAAAATAAAGGAGATGTTGAAGGCATAATTTCTTATAACGTGTAAACGTGAAACTACTGAAGAATGTAATAACGAAGTACACAGCGTTTTAAGAATTCCCTGTTATACCTGACTGATCAAGGGTAAAGCATCTTTGATATTTTATACTTCCTCATCCGTTTCATTTTAGTGTATTAACTTTAACTGAGAGATGTTCCAATAAACAAGGGCGAAATACTTTTTCAAAAAATATGTATTTATTTATTTACTTCTAGTACTGGGGTTAATCTCATTCCCTCATTCTTTTTCAGCCACATAGTGGTTACATTAACCCTCATTCAGGTCTGGTTTACAGGTTTCCAACTTAACCATAAAACATGATTTTACATGAGTCTGCGTCTTTTGGTGATGTCCTTACCTTATTATAATACTAGTATACAGCATAGATTATTTACAATTAGGAGTCTGTGCAACTGAAATATATTAGATGATTTAGACCATGTAGCCCATGTGACCGCACAGCATTTTTAACAGTGCATAGTTCAGGCCCATTTCTACAAAGGTACCACCTCCATAGTTTAACATTTAGATGGAGGACAGGTCAGACTTCTATGGTGAAGTTTTCTGTTTAACTGTCACATTGCAGAATATTTCCTCTGGTTTAAAGTTAATATGTAATTATCTTTTGTTGCCAATATCCCCAAATCCAAGCAGGCTTTAGTAGTAACAGATTAAGTACTTTTTGAAAATGGGTTCTAATTGGTTCTAATTGGTTTGGGTATGGTTGGTTATGGCAGGCAGGGCATTAAGCTAAATTACTGTGTCTCTTTTGCTGTGATAAACCATCATAAATATCTTCACCTATCTGACTTTATCCTTGTAGTTACATAATGTCAGTGTCCAAATGGCCTCACCAGCAAGGTCCAGAATCATCATTAAACTGCAGGTATAAAACTGGGAGGTTCCCACTTAAGCCAAATATCTGTCAGGATCAACTTTAGACACACCTTAAATTACCACATGTATTAAACACCTTATTACCTCCGCCAAGGAGGTTATGTTTTTGCCGGCGTTTGTCTGTTTGTTTGTTTGTTTGTCTGTTAGCAACATAACTCAAAAAGTTATGGACCGATTTTGATGAAATTTTCAGGATTTGTTGGAAATGCGAAAAGGAAGAACTGATTTCATTTTGGGGGTGATCCGGAAGAAATCCTGGATTCTGGATCACTTTGAAATTTTTGTTAACATTGTGGTAAATGGGGCCAAACATTTTGTTTCTCAATATCTTGGTTAATTATTGACCAAACCCCATGAAATTTGACTCAGGGATGGACAATGGGATCCTCTTTCATATTCCAAAGGCTGATCCAGATCTGATCCAGAAGACTGATTTTATCGCAATTTATATAAAAATGGGGGTAGTCCTTGGCGGAGGTCTGCGCTCTCTGAGTGCTTTTCTAGTTGTTTCCTGTTTCAATCAAAGACATTGAAACAATGATTTAGTTTTTGCTTTGGTTAGAACAATCAGCTGATTGCAAATCGTTTAAAGGTCCATTTTGTAACTTTTCTGCAGGTAAAAGTAATTTATTTGCCTGGAATATTCCAAGGTAAGGCAAGTTACAGGTCAGATCTCTGGAGAAGAAAACTACATACACATTTAAAATACACTATTATAAAAAGAGCAATATTACAGATCAAAAATAAAGGCAGTAAGACAGTAAAGACAGTAACTGATGAGTATGAAAAGACAGAAACTGTTTAAGTGTTGATAATGTACCAAACTTGACACATTTTGGAACATTTAGGTTTAATGTATTAAACTAAACTAAATGTAATCATGTTTCCCTTGTAAATGAAGTAAATTAACAGGTTTATATGTGTGTTTACAAAAAGGATATTGTCATCTTAGAATATGCAGATAAGAGATACAGTAGCCAACACTGTAATAAAAGTCATTATGAAGCCTATCTGAGGTATTATATAAATGTAAATCTTAAACATATAAAAGTTATTCTGTCATTGACTTGTTGTATATAATTGCTTAATTGTCCAAGACCAACCCTGTTTATTACATTAATTACATTACATTACATCATGTTCTTTTCTTTGCTGTCTCCAGGTTGTTCCAGTAATACCTGGTATCTTCAGTTTAAGTTAACAAGCTACCTCTACATTTAACAAACATCAGTGCTGAGGAGTGGCACATCCTCAGGGTACATAGTTGACTTCTTTTAAGGCCATTTCGTCTATTGACCACATATGCATTATGAGTACATGTTAAACACTAATTCTCTGTGAAAGTGGCTTGTAAATACGCCTTGTTGTGTTGATACCTCTGGTCTGTGGAGCCATTTGCAGGGGATCTCCCATGCAATCGTACATCTGCTTCATGTTAGCAACTTGTGGCCAGTGAGTACACGGGGCTCCTCTGCTCTGTGGGGGACGGCAGGAACGTGACAGTGACTGCTGGTCAAACGCCAATGTTTTTAAGCTTTAGTCATTAAAATCGACCACTTAAAGATGCACTATGTAACTTCTTGGGTGGGAGATATGCCACATGTTTCCATGGAAAACGTATTTGTTTATTTGTTTGTTAATTCATAATATATATCTCTTCACATCATTACATAGCTCACAATTTAGATTAAAATTAAAGGCTCAGAGCTTTTCTCCAAATCAGTTTATTACCAGGCTAATGGTTTATTTATTGCTCAAAATACATTTAAAAACATTACTCATTGTTGTGAGTTTACCTGCTTCTCTCCATGGAGTCAAGTTTAAAACCACACTGTGCAATGTTCGAGGCAAAGTGCACCTTTCATTTTACTGGATATGTCACCACTAAACACTATTCACTTGGTTTTTCTATTACTGGGCAATGTCTTCTTGGCTACCTGCCATTACTGTAGGTACATACTTCATAATACTAAAGTTGGCAAAAGCTGCTATTCAGTAATTAATAGTCAATACTACTACTGCTAATTTATTGTCATTTACAACATTATACTTTTGTTACAGCTGCTGCTAAATAAACAATTGATAAGGATCTATTTTTTTCTGAATGTTACTATTGCAAGAAGATTTTTGATAAGGGGATATTCTGAAATTCTCACTGTTTCAATACTATACTGGCTCAAAAGCAATCACCCAGAGTTTATGTTTATTAGTGGTTTATACAACTATACGTTTATTACATAACACAGGGCACTGATATGATTCATGTGTGACCTACATTTTCCTTATTAACCATAACACTGTGACTCTGTGTAGTGGGCATGACGGACCATCGACCTGACAACTGCTGAAGACCTCCAGCTTTAGGCCGGCCCCCATTCCCCCCCCCCCAGCCTCCCCAGCCCCCCCTACTCTTGGGGGTTCAGCTCCAGGACATCTCACACTGAATCAAGCCCAGATGTGACTGCGCTAAAGCAGAGCAAACCCACCCAGCTGCATACGTCAGCCCCCATGTCCCTGGTGAAGTATTGTCACCAGCTGTTATCTTGTTAAAACACAACTATAAGCCTCACACTTCTGGAACATGGGAATATATAAGATGGGTCACTTAAGATGTAGAATTCACTGGTAAGAGCCCTGGATAGTGCTTTAAACATTAACTGACAATGAAAAAAAATAAGTTCAACTAGTTTTAGATTTTTTTTTTTTGAGTGTGTGATTCAGTAATTACAAGAACAGTATGAAGAAATATATATATATGCAATAGCTGTATTTAAAAGTGCATTATGTAACTTTTCTAGTGTTGTTAACCACCTATTTGTCTTTATGGAGTTGTGCATTTATTCCATTAAGATTGCTTTCTTTGTTAAACACCTTGAAGAACATGCATTCTTACTGTGAGCAAACTCACCTCTCCACATATCTCACCTTTCACTTGACCTGGTGGCATCAACTGTTTGTCCCCATGGAGGTTAATGCGTTTAATGCCATATTGTGGAACAATTCTGAAAAAGCATTCATTAAACATCTCCATGGAGACAAAGTGGATGACCAACCCTTCAAAAAAAAAAGTCACATAGTGCATTGAGATTTAAAAGGTAGCACAGCATAATATATACTTTTAATACTTATCATTCCTACCATTTTAGGCCCATTTTAAGAATCATGTGGGTTTAATAAGTTACCATAAGTACGTACATTACAGGAAATTACTTAACTACTTCCTTGTGTTATCTCACTCTGAATTTACTGCTTTACTTTTATACACAATAAACCACTTATCTCAAAAATCACAAACAAAACCTTGATCAGTAGCAGACTTCTTATAAATCATTATGTAGTTCCTTGTAAACTATCGATAAAGGTTATCGTGGCTGCCCTGGCACTGTGATAAAGGAAATAAAGCTTTAAGGAAATAGTCCAGACATTGATAATGAGTAAGTGAGAGTGCATTTGTTTTGATGCGGTGGTCTCTGTGCTGTGGAGACTGGGTGGATTGCACATGTTTTACTGGACTGCCTGAGCTGTGTGTCAGCCGAGGTGCGAGGGAGGGGTAGTTTGGGGGGGTTTGGATCCACGTCACGCCGGACCATAGAGACACATCTGTATTATGTCATACTGCCGTTGCACTCCACCCTTTGGCCACTCCTCCTTTCCAGCAGCCTCAAACTAACACAAGCACTGGATCTAGGAGTCCAAGAGTGCGATCTAAAAAGTGTACACACACACCAATCCCATGAGATTTCTTTCCATTCTTCACATTTCATGTTTGTATTCTGTCTTGTCCAATAAAACATTTTCAAGCAGGGAATGGTTAAAGCGCTTATACCTGATTTGTATTTATTCTGGTCAAGATAAATGCTGGAAGAGTAAACACAGCTAAATAATAATATAATGAAGAGTCATATATAGGCCTAATCTATGCATTTTACAAAGCATTTTCTCTGGTTATAACTAATATAGAAGTTACTGATGAGGTAACCACTTTTCATTCAGACACTAAGAATCACTTATACCAACTTCCAGACACTGGTAGTCGTTGCAGTCACTTCCCAATCATAGTGCATTACCAGTAGTGACAAAATGGTTTAGAATAGGTGGAAATTGGAGAACTTTATTCAAATAACCACACGACACCATCCCAAACAGTTGTTTCTGGGTCATGGTGGAATATCACAGTGTTAGAAAAGTTTAAATGGGCACGGCTAACTCATGGTTCAAAATCAGGTACAGGTACTTTAAAGATGGGGTACATGAGACAGGCCATGGAACTCCATTTCTTTTTTTTGCATCCTAATTTCACCGGTCAGCTCTGCATTTTTACTTCACCTTTGTTGGAATTAGTCTAAGACTAATTTTGGTTTGTTCAAAAAACATGTTTTCCAAGGAACATTTTGATCTTTGGAAATGTAGACAGATGGTCTGTCCACATCTCTAAAGATCAAAATGTTCTGTTCCACTTGTAGTTGTAGTTTTCAATTTCAGAAGCTACCTTTTCCTTTCAATTCAGTAGAGGTTGGTAATTCCAGGTCTAAAATCATCCAAATGATTCTAGTGAAGGTGTATAGAATTTAAAAACATAGCAGAGCTCTTCCTGCATTACCACATGACATCAAAAGGTGAGCCTAAATATGCAGGATTTGTGTGTTAAACATGTGTGAATGAAGCGAAGCAAACTATTGTATGTGTGTGATGAGGAAACAACATTATAATATTATATTGGACACAGTGTAATGTGGGCCCTTTAACAGATGTCAGCGTGCACAGCATGTGTCTTTTTAGGTCGTCCATGTCCTTTGCAGGTCTGTTGACTGATGCTTACATTTATAATTATACTTTTTTTTTTTTTAAATAAATAACCTTATTCACTAGGATAATCCCACTGAGAATGTGATTCTTGTTAAGGGGAACCATGGAGATGGGACCCTATATCAGATGTTTAGGTGAACCTACATAGAGCACCCAGAGGAAACCCTTGCCAACATTAGGAGAACAGACAAACTTGGTCCCACCAGTTTTATTTTCTTTTGGACTGCTGGTGGCACTAAACTGTTGCAATACGCCCATACAAAATGCTATAATTCTCTTGGTCAAATCATGATGGATTTTAAATACTGTACAGACTGTGTCCACCCAGTGTTATTCACAAATTACAGTCATCACAGTAACGGCCCCTTTCTCAATTTTTTTATTGTCCATTCTGTCTGGATAAGTCCCTGGACCCCGTCACTGGCCTGTCCCCACCTGAAAAGCCAAACCAGATGGACACTTCACACTACCCTTACACATAGTGACCCTAACACTTACGCAGACAACATAAGCTATGATTCAAACATTGCACCCACTCTGGCACGCTTTTCTTACCACAAAATGAGGGCAAGAGTCACACCCTGTAACAAATCTGTCTCATTCATGTATGTAGACACATAACTGAAGAAACCCACAGACAATACCAGTGTTCTTAACCAGGGCTGTAGTCTTCCAGTGAGTGACACAGCCTTGAGGGAAAGTACTATCTTCTTACGCGTTTTGTCTCCCCCAGTATATGCTTGCACCACAGGAACTGTACATGTTCATATCTACTCACATATATGCTGTGAAGAGCTCATTAGGTTAAAGGAACTGTATGTAGCCTGTGCTCAAAAAGAAAGCCAAATCATAACATAAATAAAAGGGGCATCATGTTCAATGTTTATGTAATATAAAATCTAAATCTCACAAACGATTGCTTTAATATTGATTTGTTATACATTCAGAAATCATTTCGCCATTTCTTTTTCATGGTTTCCTACAAATCTGATGTCACTTTATGTGAATATCTATCATTTCCAAATTAATTTCACGTTGTGTTGTTTCTGGTCCGAGTGTCTATAAAAGTTTGAGTGGTCAAGAACGCTTATGTGATTTTTACACTTTTTCTGCCCTCTACTGGCCACTGCTTGCATCTTCATCGGACCCCACTTTCAGCTTAAAGAATTTTTATATTAAACTAAATAAGCATGGCCTAAACATGTCAGATACGAGGGAGACATGTTTAAATCAAATACAGCTTTTACTGATAAAAGTTGGAATGTAGATTTATTTTTAGCTGCTAAGACATTATGGCCAGAGATAACCATCTCTGGCCATAATGTCTTAGCAGCTCCAATCAGAAGGCTAAGTGAGCCTCACAAGTCTCTCATGTGGGTTGCCAATTTCAAGGCTGAAATCCAGTTGGTTTAAGCCTAAAAATACTCTGATCTGAATTCTCACTACCAAAATCCAGCAAGTCAAGCCAATCAGTAATCAGTGCCTCTGCTGCAGCAGTGTATTCTGTCCATATATTAAGAATGAGGAATTCTTCTTTTGATGAGAGCACAGGCAGCATCCAGTTCCTTAGATTATTTTTTTCTTTAATCAATATATGTACAGTATTGTAACAGTGTTTTGGAAGTACCCACTGAAATAGATGATAACTAAACACATAAATAAATGTTCATTTATTCTATCACTTCCTTATTGAGTGAAACGGTCATCAAGTACCACATCAGCTCTTTATTTGCTTCAGATGTATTTAGAAACTGGAGATGACCTCCATTTGTGCAATTAATAACATAATTTGCCAACAAAAAATATGCACACAAACTACAATTCTGACACAACAGCTTAAAATATAAAAAAAATGAAATTGTGGAAATGATAATACAAGAAATTATTCTGCCATTAAATAAAACAACAATCTTTACACCTTATAGAAAAAAAAAACAAAACGTGATGCTAACACGCTGTAAGTGGAGGCACCATCAGTCAACTCGCACTAGTGTACATGCAACCAAGAAGCACTATACGACTGTAGAAATAAAAAAAATACTACATGGCCACATGGTGGATTGAAGTAGCATGTCAGTAAAACTACAAAATACAGCACAGCTCCAATTATTTATCTGACAAGTTATTTCACCACTTCATCTTTAGCCACAGATAGCAAAAAAAGGACATGGAGACAATGCTTGTGAATGGCAGAACATTGATACATGGAGGTTTACTGGGCCATCTCATATGTTGGAAGTGGTCTGTTAGAGACAGCAGGAGAATGTTAGGGACTCAAATTGTCTCTGGGTGGCTACAGAGGTCAAAGGTCGGCTCCATGAGGCGCAAAGGTGTTCAGAAGCCCGACGGTGTGAGCACATTCATGTCCCGGGGTTTGAGCTTGTGCGGTCGAGCAGGAGGCCGCTTGGCCTCAATCCCTGTAATTTCAATCTTAGGAGGCGTGAAGTTGGCCGGGTCCTCCACGTTCAGTTTGACCTGTGTGCTTGAGTAATCCATGGTGGAAGACTTATGAAGGCCAAAGTAGGACTGCAGGGAAAAGCCTGACAAACGGGAGAGAGTTTTACAGCAAGAGTAGTTACACCATGGCCAGTAAACATTATTAAGACATGAACAAAGCTGCTGTCAACATGGACCACACGTGTGTAAATAGGTCAAAAGTTATTAATTCAACCTATCGTCTATGACTATTACACAACTGATCAAAGGTTATAAAACAAATAGCCAATTGGATTTAAGATAAGAAAGATCGTCTGATTGAAAGGCTGACTCACCTGTGCCTGTATCGGAGCCAGGGTCAGTGGGGGACTTCTGGACCATAGAGCGAGACCCAAAGAAGGTCCATCTATCTCCTCCCCCTCCCTCATTCCCCATGTCTGTGCTTGGAGCAGGGTAGCTGAGCTCTGGAGCTGTGAGAAGTGGGCCGGAGTTCACTGTAAACCAGTTTCTGTACACATCAGAATTCTTTTAGTTAAAGTAATAAAATTATTGAGACATATTTTGTTCTGTTAAATCTGAATAAATCTGACATACCTGCGACTGAGGGCAGGTGACGAGTGTGGAGTGACACTGGGCGTGACACTGGGAGTGACAGAGGGGGTGACAGAGGGGGTGCCTACAGGAGTCGACTGTGCTGATGTTGTAAGCCTGTCCTCCTTAAAGTCCCCACTTGGCATCTTCAACTTCTGCAAGACCAAAAAAAAAAAACCCCCCAAAAAAAACAAAAATAGCCTCAGTTAAGGGTGGTCACATTGATGAACAGATCTTAGAGTGCAGTGTGCTCGGGTCAGTGTGAACACTCCAGTGTGAACCTCCTGGGACCCTAACTCTTGCATTGGCATGCTTTATTGATTTCTCTTTGTTATTTGGGCTGATTGGGACCTGCTGAGTGCAAAAACAAAATAATATTAATACATGATATAGTTTCTGAAAAAAATTATGTCCACATATGATACATAAAACATTAATTTTATATTTTAATCATGTGAAAGGAACACAATAATGTCACAATTGAATAATGATCTGCAAAAACTATAAAGTGCCTGAACAGCACAAAATGTGTTGGACATATACGACCACATATGCGGACGCCAGGTACAAGCTGCTCTGAACCTGGTTTTCTGAAATTCTGATTCTGTATAACAGTAACTAAATCTAATGCACACTGGGACTCCTGGGAGCCCAGAAAAAGCGTGTGAAAATGCCTTTCTCTCATTTCTATGGAGGTTGAACAGAAGCCATGGTGTCGTTTAATACAGGAGGTCAGTGACCTCTGGACAGATAAAACAGTAATGACAAAGTGCATCAGTGTGTGGCTCAGAGCCATTCACCTGAGCCTCTGCTGAGGGGGTGGGACTCAGACAAAAAGAGAAATACAAGTCCAGACAGCACCACAATAAAACAATGTAGGCTACACAAGATAACCCCGGATACACACGCTCCAAAAACAAGTTGTGGAGAGTAGTCTAAACCAAATTATGAAGAACTAAACAAAACTATTATTTTTCTGGTACTTGCCTTGCCCCTTATGCTGGATTCATTGAAGATATCGAGCACTCTTTGTATTAGGTTTAGTCTCCATTCAATAGGCACATACTGCCATGTATTGTAACACTGAGCTCCATCTCCCGTAAGCACCTGTTCTTGTATTCGGCTCACTGAAGTAAACATTGTGCAGATGAATGTGAGAGCCACACACAGCTTATATGCGCTGTATGTTATGAGGGCTGGCAGACAGACTCTGGGAACTCTGCCAATTCAAACACTTCTGTCATACATGCACCATATAGGGACAGACAAGTCACGTGTAATAACAAAGTCACATTTGAAAGCAGTGTGCATGTTAAATATTATCACTGTACTGTACTATCCTATCCTGTTCTATCTGAAGAGTACAGGCAATTCTGAATCTGTACTTTATGTACAATGTTGTACAATTTTAAACATGGTTGTGCAAGCTGCAGACATTTAGAGTCAGAGGCAAAAGAAACATTTAGTGTTGTCATTTACAAATTTGCTTCCTTTCCTTATTGTATTCATTTGGGGAAAAACTGCCATGTCTGTTTAGCCATGGGAAGGCTTCTGTTGGTTTCTGCTGTGCAAATAATGAATTTGTGTTTAATTAGTTTACAATAATTTTAACTCACTATAGATTCTAGGCCATTCTGTAGAAAGTTTTACTAAAAAAAACAATTCTATTAAGAAAGAAGATGATAATTTCTAGCCCAAAACGTCAGCATATTACATTTTCTATTTACTATTCACAGCAAACAATACTCAGAGCTGTTGTATAATGTCCATACTGCACAGTCTGAGAGAAGTACTTTATTGATACTGAGGGAAATTCGAGTTGTGCTGCAACATTTCCACTGCGCTTCTGTAATAGCATATAAAATAATACAGTATCGTCCCTCTTTACGTCAAGGGCACGCAAAGCCAACAACAGCAAAGTAAACAACTAACAGTGAGGAGACCTGCGTGTGAGAAACTGGCTCCAGGGATTTACACGTGGATCTGTTAAAATAACACTGCCATTCGGGCCAAATGGTTCTGCGTCACAGAAATGTTGACTGTGCACGTTGTCTCTGGTCCATCTCTTGTCTCTTTATTTGGAGCTCAGAAGACTCGGGGTTTTGTTAGCTTGCCTCCGGAACAAAATGTTAATCCATGCACTGCTGCCGTTTAACCGACATAAAATATATATGTGGCTAACATTAGATAAATATAACAAATACACATAAAGTACAACATATTAGGTTTTCTTTGATCGAGTGTTCTTACCGTAAAATAACACAAGTTTATACGGCTCGAAGCATTAGCCGACAAGCTAGTTAGCCAGTTAGCTTAGCGTGAGGCCTTTTTTCGTCTGGGAAAACCGATAAGATCAAAGTCAAAATTAATAACGTACCTTTTTAAAATCAGCTTTTTGTGTCGATCCAGTTCAATGTATGTTTTCGTTTTGGCCATAACTGCTAGTATTATATAATTAATCGAAATGGTTTAGAAGAAAAGCAAAAGATCGTTCCGTACTACGCTACCTGGACCTAGCGTACAGTGGCCTCCGTGTAAAGAGCGCTGTGATTGGTCCGTCTGCACAAAGGGGCGGGTTTGTCTCATTTGGGGAGGGTCGCCTGGCAACGCATCTTCTATTTACCATAACCAGCTCCAATATCTTAACTATGATGCACTGTCTGCCACTCTAAAAAGCTTTGTTTAAACTTTGTGCCAGCACTTGTTGGAAAGATACTGGTGAAATAATGTTACCCAGACAGTTGGCACTTTTTAAATTGTGATCCCACATTGCCACAAAGGTTACAGTGTGTCTCATTGGTTTATGCCATATGGTTTACACACAGACTATGGTGGTACAAGCGGTCTTTTTTTTTATTTATTACACTTTATTGGGTGTATAAATGTCACTTATTGCTTCTGCTGATCAAAAACACTGATTAGGTTGACAGATTAAATAAGCTATCATTACATGTATATGTTTATGACAACACTATTTGTATTACTTGTATTATGGTATTTTTTGTACAACTATTTGTATGTAACACCATAGTCTCCTCTAAAATGAGAAACACAGCTGTGAAGTCCTGTACTCACTGGCAGAGTGACTTCCGCCCGACGGTGAAAGCGGGTCTCCTCAGCAGAAAGACCCTTGTGTGGAGAGTACCCAGTGTCTGTGAGGCCTGCTTGGTGCTCGAACCGATGCAGATTCTCATGGCTTTGCCCTGGTTAAAACAGAGAGGGTCAATACTGGCAGCATGACATATAAAGAGACTGGGATTGTGTGGTCATACCTCAGTTCATATTTAACATTTATATTAATGCATAAAAACATTATATTTTCACGTACTCATCAATGCACTCATTAAAGTTGTAGCCTTGGCCTTTACGACAGGCACAGGTGACCTGGGTGGGGTAGCTGTCTCAAAAGTGACCAACTTCCCACCACTCTCCCCTTCCTACATGCACAAACAAATGTTGCACAAACAAATGTTAGTTTTTGGTTTACAAATTACATTACACAAGGCAAAAACAACCAACTAACACCAAGTACTATACATTTTAGATGTATGATATATATGAATATTTAAATGTTACATATTTTATTTTCATTTCTGTCACTCTTCAGAAAGTAAACATCCCACACTCTTGATAAACACACTCAGATAGCCACATACGACCTCTGGCAAACACCACACACGTCACATTTTGAGGTCAGTTTCAAGTTCAGTGTGTTGCCAAAGATCACATTGATAATACAAAGTTAAAGATCAGACCACATGTAGTCAATGAATACCCTTATCCAGCTATTGGCCAGCTTTAATCCACTAATGTTTCCATCATGACCCACCTCTATAATGTTTCTAAATCTGTGCCTGGGTTTGACAGGGTCCTTCCATAGGATGTTGACGCTCAGGTCTGATGGCGGTGAGTGCATCGGCGCATCAATCAGTTCATCGTAGCTAATATTGCGCCGGATCACTGGCATTGGGGATGATATGGCACCAAACAGGGAAGAGGACGCTCCAGACTCCAGGGCTATGATATGATCAGTTAAGAGTTATTTGGAGAAACACTGTGCAAGTTATTAAAATGCAACATAGTAGGTAAAGTTAGGTCCATTATATTTAAGTTAGAATCAAAAAGCAGTGCTTTATATATATGCTTGGATATAGCATAAGCTTTTTTGATTATGAATATCACTGACAACTCTACTTATTTTAAGAAAATATATGAACCAATTGTTTTTATATTATGCATGATTAGATGGTAGGATATTGAAAGCCTACATGCCATTTGAAAGATATAGACTATCTAAACTATAAAAGCTGTTTGCATATATATGTGGCATATATTATTTAGTAATCTCTGTTTTACCTGGGATGTCTCCTTGTTGCGAGGACATTTTGAGAGCAGGCTGAAATGTTCGTTGTACTTAGGACCACTGGGCTTGACTTTGAAATCCAAACCTGTCACAATGATCACAAGATAATAATTATATAATGGAAGCAGCATCATCACCCGTATACAATTTAATGCTTGGGACCAATGGGAATTGGATGGGTTCCTAAGCTATGCCACAAACAGTGTCTTATTTCTGAATGTACACAAATAGAAACAGAGTTAAGTTACAGTTATGTCATGTCTTCTCTCACAGCAGCACATCTGTTTTGGCTCAGGGGGACAACAACCAAATAGCTTAAAGTAGCAAAAATAATGACAGAAGAGTGCAATAATACAGACTACACGCAACTAGCGTTGATTGTTGTGCAGTTGGTGCACTATTCTGACAGTGCAGTCACAATCTGTGCCACTTCAGACACCTGACACATTCAACTGCCTACTATTTTTGATAGCCTATTGCACGCCAGCCAACCTGGGATGACTTGCAATAAACATGAACTTAAGAAACACGCTTTGGGATTTCGTGTGTCTTGGCAAGAATCTATCAACCAGTCGACAAACCAATCGCCAGTTTAGCATTAGGCAGCTATATTATGCGTTAGTGAGTAAGATTGCATTATTCTGTCACTGGTGAAAACAGATTAGTCATGCATATTAAGACACACCAACCTATTTCCTTTTATCCGCTCGCTGTAATTTAGCTGCCCCACTGGTCCCAGTTGTGCCGACACAAAAAGCAAATATCGTCTGTTTGTACATCCATGACTTTTGGACATGTAAACTGTAAACAGAGCCCGGGAGGCACGGCCACGCTTCCTCCCCCCGGATAGGACGCACGGAAGCGCGTAAAGCTGTACATTCACTCTCGGAGTTTGTTTAGGAGTCACCGCTGTAAGGTGATCGTCTGCTGTAGAGATGTGTTCAGCGTCAGCAAGTGCAGGACGCACGCAAACGGAGACTACTGTAGCCAGACCTACATTAACAATTCAAGATGGTATGCCAGCGTTTAGAGTTCTTTACCAAAGCCTGTATTGCCAGAAAAGTTCACAGTCCTATTTCAAAGCAATGGTTGTACATTTATAACGAAAAGACCCAAGGTACCTCTGTGGGCATCACCCAGCCCAGCCTATAGACTCTCTTTATATATATATATATATCTGTTTATAGCATACTAGTGAGGTTTGTAGTCCAGTAAGGCCTTGTACAGCCGTGTCAGTGCTGATGTGCTAGCCAATTTGTTGCCAATTATTACAGATTATTGATGTCGGGATACAGGTTCCAACATCAAGTGGCCTTTTAAAAAAGAAGAATAATTTCACTTCCTCTAATTATGTTTATAAGCCTAGTACATTTGCTCACTTCTGCTTTCACTGTCTGGAGAAGTGTCTGAAATGATTGTTTTATGTTTTTGTGCAAATTAGAATGATTTGGGAGTACCCGGTCAGCCCTCACTGACCCCTGCAGTGAATATTGTAAGTACTGTTGTAATCGACTCTCTGCTCTTCCTTCATTACTTATTGCATCAGTTCTTTGCCTCCTGTAATTACACTGAGCACACCAAAGTCGTTTTATCTGACACTTGTGGCACGCGTCACGTTTTCCTTTTCGTTTTCCTATGGAAACCACCAGGCTGCGCTGTTTTTCAAATATATTTTATTACAAAATAGAAAATATACAAACAAAACATTTTAAAAGTACTAAAATGAACGGAAATGCGAGACTAAAAGAAGGCCCATTGTTAAAAAGTACCACATCAAGGCAAACACATAAACAAAATAATAATTTAGAGAACACACAGCAATATTTCTATCTTCATTTTCACATTTTACATTCTTTGTAACTCAAGATGGTGGTAAGCTGCATCATAATTTCAAAGTTGGACTTGGACTTGAGGCTCCAGTTTCTTACTTGTTTGCTCTGAAAGGGGACAAGGGGGTGGGGGATGTATTATTTTGGTGCTGATCCATTATAGAGGATGAGCTGCACAGAAGACTATTGTTTATTTAGCTTTCTAAGGAAGATACAATTCTGTAGACTTACCGGATTATCCTATTCAGTAACATTTTGGCCACTCTCAGGTCAGGGTTCAAGCAATAACGGTCACTAGATTTACTGGTGACGCTAAACAAAAAATAGATTAGATTAGATTAGATTTAGTTTTAACATGTTACAGCTGATAATTGTTTCTATGAAGACCCATTAGTAGATTAATCACTTACACAATCTCAACTCGGTTGCAGAAATCTGAAGGAGGGTAGATCTGAATGTCTGAAATGTTTTTCTTTGCGTCGACAGTGTTTCTAACATTGGCACACAAACACTGCTGAACTGCGTGGCTTTCTAAAACATAAAAACAAATTCATGAGACCCCAGAATTTTGTGTTCACCACTATAGACACAACATTGTAAAATCTGAAATTACACAAATAGCCTATTGAAATTTATCACATTTTGTCAGAGTTTTGGTCTTCAATTTTGTCATAATAATCTTGTAAAAAAAAAAAAAAAAAAAAACATTTCAACTGACAACACTGAAGCCTTTGTGATTGAATAACATAATACTTATTAATTCAATAGGCCTAGGACATGTTCAAAACTAAGTACAATAGCTGACAGAAAATATTTTTAATCTTTGTCTTTGTAAACCCAGAGAAAGTGTATTTTAACTTTCCAGCTCATATTATACTAGAGCTAGGCAGTCTAAAATATGTCATGTGAACCCAACCTGAAAAAAAGAAACTACAATTGATAAAAATGTAAATGCTTACGTTGTGCGTCGCAGATGAGAGCTAGAGCGGCAAGAGCCAGCAGCACTTTGATGGAGCTGTTGATCATCTTGGCTGGAGATGTGGAGATGGTGGTTTGGTGAAGAGGTGCAGGTGGCTGGAGAGCTCTGAGGGTCCTGGGTCTCGACACAGGCTTTTATACTTTTCAAGTGGCATTGCATCATGGGTCTGAACAGGGAAATTTCTTTGAGAGTGGAAAGTGAAACTGCAAGAATCCACAAAGTGAAAACCACTTACCCCACTCCTTTTATAGTTTGATCAGATTAGAAATATATTTAAATAAATATTGAAAGTTTAAGTTTTGATATGAAAACAATAACTTGTAGCAATGTACAAAATATGACGATATCATGCCATATCATGTACCTAATATGTCCATTGTGAGAGAAAAATGAATTGTGTCAGCTGGTCACATAAAAAGATAAAAAATGTTAAATGTTCTTAGCTAAAGATTTGCGTTTTATAGTTTTTTTTGTATTGTAATCCCTTTCTGTTTTATTTATGTCACTTCTGCGAACTTGGATTTGACTGGCACATAGATATGTCTATCACTGGCAGTTTAAATTACTAGTTTTTTGTCTTGTAATTGCCCCTCAAGGATAAACAAAGTGACTTAACTGAATTACTAATTTCATCCATTTAATATACAGTAATATTATATAGGAATTGTCATAAATATTCATTCATCAGTATTGTTGTTACCATCAGTAAATACCTATAAAATAACTCAAATTTTGTAAATTGGCAGTGCAGATGTCACAGGCTACAGTCTACACTGTGTGAAGCCTCTGTGACTCTTGTGTAGACCGTGGTTAACACCTCCGTCAAATGCATAGCTGGAAAGTGTCAAATGCTGCATGTTTCCAGAGATGGGTACAGTGTGTAGGCTTTAATAACGAGATTTAGATAATCTTAGTGATTTCATATCACAAACAATTCAATTCATTATTTTTATTTACTGTATTTGCTTAGAATACATGCTTCCATTTGAAAGGAAAAGACTTATTTCATCAGAAGTGAGAAAAGGAAGATAAAGCTATCTTCCCTTATTCATTATAATTTGATGGTTTGAACAATCAGAAAAAAATAATGTTAGTGACATCAGATTTGGTAGTTTTTCATCCCATCTAAAAAAATAAAGGTTTGGTCTTACTGGGTCTTCTTCAAGGTATAGATATTAATATAATTAATTTAATATCTTAATGTAATTAATTTAATATCTATGCCATGATGGAGGTCCAGTAAGATGTGATTTTTGTCTTGAACAATAATAAACAAAAGTCAAAATATTCTGATTCTATGTTGTTGCAACTTGAGAGTAGTTTATCTGAAGGGAAAGTGCCCATTGCAAAATGAACTGGTTTCATGTGATTTGGCATGGGGTTTTGGTAGGTGTAGTTGAAAACTTAGTTTGAGTGTCTTTCTCAGGGACATTACTAGATGTGTCTTGAGCATAGACTTTACATATTCAGTCTATGGCCTTAAATGAGGATTGACCCTGTGACCTTCTAGTCTGAAGGTGAATACTTACTAACAGGACCACTTCCTCTCACAGATGCAGTGATCTCTTCTTACCAAGTTGTGATGACTTTGTGTATAACTGTCTCCATCTTGACATCAGTTGAGTGCACTTTGCTTGAATATTTTATATTTGCTGCTCTGAATATTTAATAGTTTTACAAAGCAGAGTTGAAGCTGTTAAAAAATGTCCCTATATGAACTAACACAGGAAAGAAAGCTGTGCGTCTTTGTGGTCATTGCAAGGTACAGGGGTGCAGAATACAAAGGAAACTAACAGTACTACATTATATTTTTTGTGAGGGTGGTTAATAGACTTTGGGGGGATTTCCCTTACGCTTCTCTTCTATGTATTTCTCTTAAATAAAAGGAAATGGTAAAAAGTGTGAACTGTGCCCTTCTTGTGGTGCTCTTCCTTTTCAGTTACTTCATGTTTCTCCATTTCCCTGGAAATGGTCAACTGTTTCAATTTGTTTCAATCTGTAATATCATGATAAAGTTCATTGTTGTAGTATACATATATTACAGGTGTTTCACATCACACTGTTCATAATACAAGGCTACAAAGACAAACTTGACATGAAATAGACTTTAAAGGTGCGCCATGTAACTTTTTTTGATGTAAGGTCCACCAGCTGCTTGAGAAAATGCAGGAAAGCAATAACATGGAGTCAAGCAGGTAACATGCCCATAACCAAAAAAGTTGTATAGTGCATCTTTAACATACAAAATCTATTAAGATGTCATTTCAGTGTGCAGAGATGTTCCCTGTTTGCTGTTTCAACAAATATTATTGCAAAAAAAACAGAACAGATTATAGATATTCTGTTTATTTGAATAATTGTTAATAATGTTGATTGCACTTTTGTTTTGTCTTTAGTTGAGGTCTTACGGTAATAGCCTAGGACTTTCACTTCCACTTCTTTCAAGAAGAACTATTATTTTCAACCATCCCGCTCTTTTCCCTGTGTGGCACTTTGGCATTCAGTTTCTTTTTTGTTTCACTTCAGTTTCATGATTGCATTACTGCAAACAGTGGGTTTATTTGAAAGTAGAAGTGAATATGAATGCTGCCTCAACTTAAAATAGCTTTCCCAAAATGAAAATTAGATTTTGAAACAATCCTTCTCTGTGGAATATGAGAGATTTTTGACCTTTATGTGTGAAAGAGTGGTCAGTCAGCATTTCAACCCCTTCCCACAAGTTACCCACAACACACACACACACACACACACACACACACACACACACACACACACACACACACACACACACACACACACACACACACACACACACACACATGCTGTTATCCAGTCCAACAATTGAACAGTTTCTTTCTCACAAATCCGGTCTCACAGATGCTGTTGCCCCTTGTGTCCAGATAGGCCAAGAGTCAGGTTCACTCCTCAGGATGTTTTTTGATACCTTTTTTTCACTATTATTTCCTGTTATCTTATATCATGGGCCATCATAAGTTGAAAGGGACCAAACCCTACTTGACCCCATTTGGTTTCAGGGCCCAAAAACACCCTTTTTAAGAAAAGCTATTTGTGAAATTATATAACTGTAAATATTAAGGTACTGCAACTGCATAAATCAGGGGTGTCAAACTCATTTTGGTCCAGGGGCCGTATCCAACCTACTTTGATCCCAAAGGGGCCGGATCAGAAAACTCATGTCATATAAACCCCAAAAATAACAATAAGTTCAAATATTTGTGCAGAGAAACACAAATCTATTACAGAAATCTTTTTTAATTGATGAACTCTTTCTTTTACAAAATATTATAATATTATGAACAACCTGAAACTTTAAGAAAAATACAATTTCAACACAATGTTTTAACTTGAACTTGTATGTAAATAAGTCAATTTTTCTTGTAAAATCCTGCACTGGGCTCCACTTTTCTCATTTTTGACATTTTGCTGATGAGGGTGTCACGGTCGACCACGGCCACGCACAGAGACACTGGAGACACTGATATGATAAACACCGCAGAAAATTACCAATATCTTAATAGAAAATATAATTAAAATATTTTAGTAGAAAATCAGCCGAGGGCCAGATTAAAGGTCTTGGAGGGCCAGATCTGGCCCCCGGGCCTTATGTTTGACACCTGTGGCATAAATGGTCAAATAACCTTAACCTCCTGACACATAAGGGAAACTAGCAGAAAAATATTCTGGCGCTTGCTGCCTTTCTACTGACAAATATCGCCCTCAACATACCCCAAAAGACAAAAAAATTTCTGTCCAGCTGACAAATTGTCATCAAAAACTTCCCAAGTTTATAAGCTTAAATTTAAGCCCAAGATGACCTATCTATGGACAGGGGTCAGGGTGCAAGATAAAACTATGGTAACCAGGTTACACACACAAACACACGCAACCCACCAACACACAACCAACCAACATCCGAACCCTTCATGCAACATCCCACCAGAAGTTATTTTCCAAAGACAATTGTGAGAGAAGTTGATACATTTTCTGGTTATAAAAAGAGATTGAGTCTAAAGAGATTGAGATCGATGTCCTTTTCTAGGCGTCCACGACTTCTAGATTGATAACATTAACTAGTTCATGTATCAGATTGTTAGATAACAACCAACCCAATGGAGCTAGCTGGTGAGAGTAGGGGTAGCAGAGAAGTTATGGTGTGTGTGTGTGCGCCCACGTCTGTGCATAATATCATCAGTAAGATCATCAGTCTCTGTTTGAGGCTAAACTTCAGTGAAATAATAAGATATAAGAATAAGATAATTAGATAGTTTAAATTTTAAATTTTGCATTTTTGCCAACATTTAGACATATTTGCATAATTTCTGTTGTTGCCCTTTTCAATTCAGGCACCATTCCACAGCACATTTTCTGCACTGTTACGGCTCGCAGCCTGTCTCCGGCTCTGCATCGCCTGGCGCTCCCCGTTTGTATTACCGCGTGTATCTCCCGTATTTGCATGTCCTGTGTGGTACCTGCTATCTGACTGGTGGGCCGTGGTTCCGATGCTGTGGGCTACCTCCGACGTCCCTTGTGCTGTGGTTGGAGGATTGACGTCCCGTTCCTCCAATCCCTTCCCTACACATCAATCATCTCGACCAATAAAAGTGCTGTGCGCCTGTCCCTCCGGGCGGCTGGATCACAGTTTCAGTTTGCCCCTCACATCTGTAGACGTTCGCTAGTGGTCCCTCTTTGATATTGTAAAGTGTGTTTATATTACTATAAATTTTAGTTTTGCCAGTTTGGCTCGGCCCTTGGGCAGTTGTTTTTTGTTGCTGTTAGCTACCCTAGTTTAGGAGTGGTTTAGTTACTTTGGGAAATTCAGATTTTTTCAAATGTAAAATGTTTTATTTTGTTATTGTACTTACCCACATCACTTTATAAAACCCGTTTACTTTACATCATATCTGGTTTGTGTTACTTTCCTTTGTCCCTAGCACTGGGTTGTAACATGCACTTTTAAATATTTTATTATTGACAGATTATTTTAGTTAACTTTAATATTGATTTAAAGATTGTATTGTTTGTTTTTCAAGCTTTGAATGAATTATGACCTCAATAGATCCCACCCATAAGACTTAATAATATATAATCGTAACTGTCAATAATGACTGTTATCATTCATTGTTTTATTTGTTTTATATTTTGTTCTGATTACTTTAACTACCTGCTGTATTGTATTGATACATTAGCCCAGTTGGACTGTTTTAAAACTTGGCTGTTGGGAGCATTTGTGTTCAGGACTTTAAATTACAATAATTTGGAACTGAATATATTTTTTGCTAATTTCTCATGATCATCTTTCTGAAATTCTCACATCATGCATTTCCAATTACATAATAATTAGAATTCATAATCTCTGTAATTCTGACACCTCTGTCTGGCAGTGTGCTTGTGGTTTCAACTGTGAACTTTCATTTTTGCTGTAATTTTATTGACCCCTCCTTGAACCGTCACCTTATCGTGGTGGAGGGGTTTGAGTGCCCGAATGATCTCGTGAGCTATGTTGTCAGGGACTTCATGCCCCTGGTAGGGTCACCCAAGGCAAACAGGTCCGGGGGGATGGGTCAGACGAAGAACGGTTCAGAAGCCCTATATGATGATGTCCACTCAGAGGCCAGCGACGTCGCCCGGATTGGCGTCACCGGGGCCTCACCCTGGAGCCAGGCCTGGGGTGGGTGCTCGCCAGTGAGCGTCTGGTGGCCGGGCCTTCCCCCACGGGGCCCGGTCAGGCTTAGCCCAAAGGAGAGACGTGGGGCCGTCCTCACGTGGGCCCACCACCCGCGGGAGGATCAATATGGGGCCGGTGCAGAGAGATCTGGGCAGCAGTCGACGACCGGATCTCAGAACATGGAGACTAGCTCTGGGGACATGGAATGTCACCTCGCTGGGGGGGAAGGAGCCTGAGCTTGTGCGGGAGGTTGAGCGTTACCGACTAGAGTCGGCCTCACCTCCACGCACAGTTTGGGCTCTGGAACCCAACTCCTTGAGAGGGGCTGGACTCTCCATTTCTCTAGCGTTGGCCGCGGGGAGCGGCGGCGGGCTGGTGTGGGCCTGCTCATTGCCCCACAGCTCAGCCACTGTGTGTTGGAGTTCACCCCGGTGAACCAGAGAGTCGCGTCCCTGCGCCTTCGGGTCGGGGACAGGTCTCTCACTGTGGTGTCGGCCTACGGGCCGAACAGCAGTCCAGAGTAACCAGCCTTCTTGGAGTCCTTGGGAGGGGTACTAGACAGTGCGCCGACTGGGGACTCCGTTGTTCTCCTGGGGGACTTCAACGCCCACGTGGGCAATGACAGTGACACTTGGAGAGGGGTGATTGGGAGGAACGGCCTCCCTGATCTGAACCCGAGCGGTGTTTTGTTATTGGACTTCTGTGCTAGTCACAGTTTGTCCATAATGAACACCATGTTTGAGCACAAGGGTGTCCTTAAGTGCACGTGGCACCAGGACACCCTAGACCGGGAGTACTTCTCCCGGATTCCGGGGGAGGCTGGAGATATGAAGTCCGAGTGGGCTTCATTCTCGGCCTCTATTGTCGATGCGGCTGCTCAGATCTGTGGCCGTAAGGTCTGTGGTGCCTGTCGCGGTGGCAATCCCCGAACCCGGTGGTGGACACTGGAAGTAAGGGATCCTGTCAAGCTGAAGAAGGAGTCCTATCGGGCCTTGCTGGCTCGGGGGACTCCTGAAGCAGCTGACGGGTACCGGCGGGCCAAGCATGCTGCAACCCGTGTGGTCGCGGAGGCAAAAACTCGGAGCTGGGAGGAGTTCGGGGAGGCCATGGAGAAGGACTATTGGATGGCCTCAAAGAGATTCTGGCAAACCGTCCGACGCCTCAGAAGGGGGAAGCAGTTCTTCACCAACACTGTTTACAGTGCGGGGGGAGAGCTGTTGGCCTCGACTGGGGACGTTGTCTGGCAGTGGAAGAAGTACTTTGAGGAGCTCCTCAATCCCACCGTCACGTCTTTCGCGGAGAAAGCCGAGGCTGGGGACTCGGAGGCGGACTCATCCATCACCCTGGCTGAAGTCACTGAGGTGGTTGGCAAGCTCCTTGGTGGCAAGGCTCCTGGGTTGGATGAGATCCGTCCTGAGTACCTTAAGTCTGTGGATGTTGCAGGGCTGTCTTGGCTGACACGCCTCTTCAACATCGCGTGGCGATTGGGGACAGTACCTCTGGACTGGCAAACCGGGGTGGTGGTCCCTCTGTATAAGAAGGGGGACCGGAGAGTGTGTTCCAACTATAGGGGGATCACACTCCTCAGCCTTCCCGGTAAGGTCTATGCCAGGGTACTGGAGAGGAGAATCCGGCCGATAGTCGAACCTCGGATCCAGGAAGAGCAGTGTGGTTTTCGTCCTGGTCGTGGAACACTGGACTAGCTCCACACTCCCCGTCGGATGCTCGAGGGTTCATGGGAGTTTGCCCAACCAGTCCATATGTGCTTTGTGGATCTGGAGAAGGCATTCGATCGTGTCCCTCGTGGTGTCCTGTGGGGGGTGCTCTGGGAGTATGGGGTCCGGGGCCCTTTGCTAAGGGCTGTCCGGTCCCTGTATGACTGGAGCAGGAGCTGTGTTCGCATTGCCGGCACTAAGTCAGACCTGTTCCCGGCGCATCTTGGACTCCGCCAGGGCTGCCCTTTGTCACCGGTTCTGTTCAGTGTATTCATGGACAGAATTTCTAGGCGCAGTCAGGGGCCGGAGGGGGTCCAGTTTGGGGACCACAGGATTTCATCTCTGCTGTTTGCAGACGATGTTGTCCTGTTGACTTCATCAAACCAGGACCTGCAATGTGCACTGGGGCGGTTTGCAGCCGAGTGTGAAGGGGCTGGGATGAAGATCAGCTCTTCTAAGTCTGGGACCATGGTTCTCAACCGGAAAAAGGTGGCTTGCCCTCTCCGGGTGGGTGGAGAGTCCCTGCCTCAAGTGGAGGAGTTCAAGTATCTCGGGGTCTTGTTCACGAGTGAAGGGAAGATGGAGTGTGAGATTGACAGGCGGATCGGTGCAACGTCTGCAGTGATGCGGTCGCTGTATCGGACCATTGTGGTGAAGAGGGAGCTGAGCCGAAAGGCGAAGCTCTTGATTTACCGGTCAGTCTTCGTTCCTACTCTCACCTATGGTCATGAGCTCTGGGTAGTGACCGAAAGGACAAGATCGTGGATACAAGCGCTCGAAATGAGTTTCCTCTGCAGGGTGGCTGGGCACTCCCTTAGAGATAGGGTGAGGAGCTCAGTCACACGGGAGGAGCTCGGAGTAGAGCCGCTGCTCCTCCACGTCAAGAGGAGCCAGTTGAGGTGGCTCGGGCATTTGTTCCGGATGCCTATTGGGTGTCTCCCTCGGGAGGTGTTCAGGGCATGTCCCGCCGGAAGGAGGCCCCGGGGAAGACCCAGGACACGCTGGAGGGACTATGTCTCTCAGCTGGCCTGGGAATGCCTCGGGGTTCCCCCGGAGGAGCTGGAGGACGTGTCTGGGGTGAAGGAAGTCCGGGAGACCCTGCTTAGGCTGCTGACCCCGCGACCCGGCCCCGGATAAGCGGACGAAAATGGATGGATGAATGGATTTTATTGTTTTTTTACATTTGAATACCATCATCACCAGTGTCAGCTGAATGAAACACACAGTTATGAGGCCAACATTTAGGACAGTTTGACAATGAATCTAATTTTGTCTGACATTATCAACTTTTGAGTAGCTGCTGACAAACTCTCTCTGGTCAATACAATTTTTGAGCTTTTTAAAAAGCAAATCTCAAAAAGTCAAAAAAAAAAAAAAAAAAAAAAAAAGATATTGCATTGTTGACATAAAAATCTAATTTTTATTTATTAAAAATTAAGCTATCAATGCCACATTCTTTTAAAATACAAAATGGGGAAAGTAATAGGTACTTCAAGCCTCACAGAAGAATTGGCTCCATCTAATGGGCACATGTGAAACTGCTGCAAGGTGTGTCATGGTCACTCTTGGTCATGTCTAAAGCTGTTTTCACCTTTACAAATATTTAGGTGTGTTTGTTTAACATCAAATTTAGAGACATTTTTATTAAATTCTATAAAAATGTATTCTGCTTGTCCAATATTATCAACACGCCGTAAGGTTTCTTATTTAACCAAATATATAATAATAATAATAATAATAATAATAATAATAATAATAATAATATCACTCACCACAAAAGTTGTAGAGGTAAAGTAACAAAATTAAATACAATTTTCTTTCTGTTTATTTTGTATCGAGTCATCGCTGTTTGCCTCCACACATTTGCCGAGCAGGATCCCACGAGTTACCATAGAAACCCCATCACACAAGGCATCAGTAGATCAGAGGCTGGTGTTTGAAAGGACAAAATACAGAATAAAGAAAGGCCAATTCAAATCTGAGTCAAAGTATCAAACGCTTTTATTCATAATTAGTTCACAAAACAAGATTTAAAAAAAAAGCTTTTCAACATCAAGTGTATAGGCCTCAACATGAACACTGAAATTTCAATACATAACGTTAAATAATCTGCATTTTCAACACATGTACAGTTATGTGGTGTGCTTAACAGGACAGACACAGGGTAGCTTCAGGCTCTGATATATTCTTTAAAAATTAAACTTGAGGAAATTAAACTATTTATTGTTGTTGTATCATTTTACATTCTGCTCTCATGAGTCTGTTATGAGTTACAATAACAGTGTCTACAATATGAAGAAATGTTCTTATTAAAATACTAATGACTTATGTGGTTTTCATTTCTCTCTATGAAAACAGCTTTTAATTCCACTATAACCTGGAGTTACCCTGCCCCTCTGTGGACTCTCTGTATTGACAATGCCCTATATTTCAGCTATGGCAGGCAGCAGACAGGCTCGGGCACGCGCCTCTCTCCATGCCACTCTACAGTCCGAGATCCACTGCGAAATGAGGGATGGTTTAATGCTCGGATCTTGCCTCTCCTCCTCCATCACTGCTGTCATGTCCATCTTTGGTAAGCATCCATTTTGAGTCGTGTTGCGTAACTCGGGGCAACTGCTTTTGCGCTGTTGGGTCAGGTCTGGAGTGGAAGTGTTAGGAATACTATGGGCCCTCGTTCTCTCTTTCGATCTCATGTGTCGCCTCCCACATTGGAGGCTGCAGTTGGGATGCCCGTAGATATGCTCCAGGGGGTCAAAGTGTCCATAGCAACCGATCTTGCCGTCCTGCGTGTGGTTGCCATTGGTTGTGATATCCCGTGTTGGGAATGTGGGGTGGGCCAGGTGGCATATGGACAGGAAGTAGTCCTCAGAGGAGCTGACCGGGCAGTTGTGGCTGTAGGTTGCGTTGGTGTCATTGAGCTCCTTTACTGCCTCCTCTGTGCCCTCTCTGATAGTGGGCAAGAGGAGGGTCTGCTTGGAGGGAAGTCTGGACCGTGGCCGCATCTCTGGACAGGACAGATGAATATAACAGTTAATGGTTTGCAGTCTGTCAGGGTTAAAGTTGCACTGTGTAACTTTTCTGGTGAAGCATCTGCTTGTCTGCATGTTTAAAATTTCTTTATCTGGAATGTTCCACTGTATAAATGTATCTGTTTTTGTTCAGTTACCAGTGTTTTAGTGTATCACCTGCTTGTCTCCATGGAGCTTGTAGACTGAAGGTTTATGCCATGCTGTGGAACATTCCAGGCAAAACAACATAAAATAGTTAGGACTTTCCACCTTTCCAAGTTGCACCAATTTAGAACTAATTAGATCACAGATTTAGCCTTTGATTTTCCTATAGTTCTTTGTTTTTATCCTAGTTTAGTACTGCTACTTTTACGTTTATAACCTTATATCACTATATGGTAATGTCTTTTCATTCCAAACACTGTTCCGTTTCTTGCTTTAGATCTAGATTAGTCCAGATTTTGGTTTACATTTTTGTGTTTCCATTCACATCAGATCGTCCCCTCACGTGCACTATTTAAATATTGACTTAACGCCTTGTGCAATCCTTTCTATCTCTTCAGGCTTAAGATGGGCACAAAGAGTACACTGTGTGACACATTTGTTTATATCATCCCGGACCAAGTCTTTTTCATTACCTTACTGATAGAGGAATGTACAGCAGCACCGAGGTTATGCAATCTTATATGTTTTTACATTTTATACAACCCAGTATTTCAGGCACTCAAGACTACCCAGAAACATGTATTAATAATTATGTAGACTTAACTGTATCCATCAGTATTACTATGTGCAAGCTTTTCTTCCTGGTTTACACAGTCCAGACACCATCCTTGTTTACTTTGGAGAGGCAAGTGTAAACAGCTCAGAAAAATATAACCCACCCAATCTCTTTTTGGCAAAGATGAACCAAAATAGAAAGGCATGAACGCTGAGCCAGACGTGTTAAAACCACAGAATGTACCCAGCCTATGTTTTGCTCTGCGCCACGTATTGTCCTAACCCTGAATGTATATTTTGGAATGCCAACCTTGGTGCTAAAAATAGAGCATTCCCAAAAACCAAAATGCCAGCCTCACCCAGTTTCTCCCAAAGCGTACGCACATTTCTAAATTTAGACCCCACCTTGAGTACACAAAATGCATTGCTACACCAGGCATTGCTGTTGTGTATTTTACAAAAAAAAAAAAGAGATGAAATATTTCTCACCTGCTTGCAGTCCAATCCTGTCCACAGATGTTTTGTTGTGATGCTGAGTCTGGAAGAGGAGATGCTTTGCCGTCCTCTGCTCTGTGTCTCCAAGTGTCTCTGGCCAGCGGTAGCAGGCGAATACAAATTTATCTCCTCCTCCTCCTCATCCCTCCCTCCCTCTCTCCATAGCTTACTTCAGCTCTGCCCTCCTTCCATGCTTCTAAAAATAGCCACTCCATCCATTTCCTGATGCTGATGGAGACCACATTGAGAAAAAAGGGAACAGACAAAGCCAAGCATGTGTGTACTGAGAAGGATTGAGATTGATAATTGAACAATAGAGGGCTTTGAGCAGTTGTAAACATGTTTGACCTTAACAGTCCAGTAATAAAGCATTGGTTGGTGCATGTGAGAGCAGGGCACGTGCAGAGAGAGGCTGGAAGATCCCTGCAGCAGAGAAAGGGGCTTTAACCTAAGGCTTCACATGACTCACATCACACTACAATGGGCCTTTGTTAGGGCTCTGGGATATCCGTTTGACTCTAATACCTGTGACATGGATTTGATCTGGGCACGCGTGGAACTGGTGCTATATTAAACGTGCACTGTGTAACTTTTCTGGTGGAGGGTCCGCCACCTGCTTGTCTCCATGGAGATGTTATTGTTTTGTCTGGAAATTCCCAGTACAGATTAAATGTATCGATCTTGCATTTATGCAATAATGTGGGTTTTATTGACCTAAAAACTATTAAAAACATTCTTACAGTGAGTGGGCTCGCCTCTCCACAGATCTGACATGTAACTTTACATGTGGTGTCACCTGTTGTCTCCATAGATATAAATAAGTGTAATGACATACTGTGCCAGTCCACTGCCTAAAAAAATACACACAAAGCTTTATATTCACACTTTAATAAGAAGAGATAGCGGACACAAAACTTTCACTTTATAGGTCTCTTATAGGTTTATAATAAAAATGCATATTGGCCCAAAAATATCAGCAGAGTTTATCGGCAGTTGGTGGCTCTGGAGTCAGTATCGACATTGGCCGTGAAAATGAGACTTTTATTCTTGTCCATGTGTTTTACTACATAAACATTATCATGGTCACTAATTTTTAACAGAAGCCAGTGTTCCTGTACCGGTTTTGTTTTGTGTATGTTGGTGCATTGTGAAGAGAGATAACATAACAGTAGGGATCATGTATCCCCCATGTATACCCATGCCCCATAAAAGTTGGTGGCGATAGGGTAGTTATGTTAACTGTTCCCTTTTTAACCACTGAAAACAACACAACAATTTTATTCCAAAAGACAACAGTCATGAATTCTCTCACCTTCACTGATTTATTTATGGAAGAACGCTGGTCTGTGTATGGAGTGTCTTGTTTGCCTTTCTGGGATTATAACCCACAACTTTCTGCATGAGAAGCACATGCAAACCCATCTGCTATCTCCTCAGCTAAATATTGTGACCTTTAAAGCAGCAAAAATAACCAGCATACATTTGTGTTTTCATTGTCCATCCACCAAAATTAATAGATCCTCAATATACAATTAAAGAAATTATTCTGATTTTAATCATGTGGATCAGCCAAAAGAAAATTTGTTATAATTTGATCATATGTTTTTTAACAAAATCATAAAAACCATCCATCCATCCATTTTCTTCTGCTTATCCTGGTCGCGAGGAGAGCAGTCTGAGCAGGGTCTCCCAGACCTCCCTCTCCACACACACTTCCTCCAGCTCTTCCTGGGGGATCCCAAGATGTTCCCAGGCCAGCCAAGAGACATAGTCCCTCCAGCGTGTCCTAGGTCTTCCCCGGGGCCTCCTCCTGGTGGGACATGCCCAGAACACCTCCAGAGGGAGGGGTCCAGGAGGCAAAAGGAACAGATGCCTGAGCCACCTCAGCTGGCTCCTCTTGACGAGGAGCAGCAGCTCTACTTTGAGCTCCTCCCGCGTTTCTGAGCTCCTCAGCCTATCTCTTAGGGAGCGCCAAGCCACCCTGCGGAAGAAATTCATTTCAACCGCTTGTATCCTCAATCTTGTCCTTTCGGTTATTACCCAAAGCTCATGACCATAGCTAAGGGTAGGAACGTAGATTGACATCCCGCGTGCTCCCCCCTGAACTGCCACCTTACTCTGGTCAGGGGAGTTTACGTACCCGAATGATCCTAGGAGCTATGGTGCCCAAAGCATCATGGGTCTCCAATGGCAAACAGGTCCTAGGTGATGGGTTAGACTAAGAGCAGTTCACAGCACCCTTATGAACTGTAAAAAATCGAGGATGTTATATCGACTGGTATGGCGTAACCGAGGCCCGACCCTAGAGCCAGGCTTGGGGGGCTGGAAAGCGAGCGCTTGGTGGCCGGGCCTTTGCCCTCGGGGTCAGCTCCAAAGGACGACGTGGGTCCAGGCTCCTGTGGGCACACCACCCACAGAGGGGTTCATAGGGATTGGGTGCACAGAGCAGAGGCAGTTGGGGACGAGTGTCTCAACGACCTGGTCTGCGGACACAGCATCTGGCTGTGGTGACGTGGGTCACAAACCACCTAAATTAAATTAATCAAAAATGGGGCACCAATAATTATAATAGAATCACCAGAGTCACTAGACTCGCATCTTTCTGGTGAAAATATATTAGATATGATAAAATTTGCTTTCCAGGAATCCAAAAAACAAAACAAAAAAACAAAAAACAAACAACAACAACAAAAAAAACAAAAAACAATCAACAGTACTAGATTTTTTGGATTTAGATTTTTTTGAAATAATTTTTTTATTTCGGGTTTTGTGCCATGAGAGAAACAATAATCATACTACATATACACTGTAAATAACAGAAGCACATTTCTCACAAAAGAAGTAGGAAGAAGAAAAAAACTTACATGAACCCACCCCTTAACTCTTTCCCCCTTGGACGCCTACTTGGAACAACCCATACATATAGTAGTATGTCTGGGTTGTAGTGGCCCCCACCTATCACAGCCTCTGATTACATGTGAAAAACTGAGCCATTTCTAATGGTCGTCAAATCACGTCTTTAGTGATACAGCGGAGGTGTCAAAAGACATCATTAAGGAAACAAGGGAGGGTCGTCAAATGTAGTCTTCATGGGGGAAAGAGTTACAGGCATTCGCTAAATTAGATCCGTGTTTTTTCAAAGCACAAATAAGCTAATTGGTGTCACTGACAAGCAACTTCTAGAAAATATATTAGCAGCACACCTTCTGCTCCAAGCTAAAACGTGCACTTATATGTTTAAGTTGCAGACACCAACAGAAAGCCTATAGTCACTGCTAACACAATTTTTCTCTTGTTGTGAGATGTAGACAGGGTCCATGTGTGCTGTGCAGCTCATATGCAGAGGGGGTAGTTAGCCTAGGATGAGTCAGATCGCAGGCTCTTTGCATCCAAACTATAAAAAGATCTGTGATTTTTACAGCTCTCTAATGTTAGTCACGAGGAACTATATTTACTTCAGCTGCTCAGACACACACAGTATACAGACAGCTGCATTCACCACATAATGGTCCTATTCATCAGTTTGAAAAGATGCATATTTTGACAGTCTGTATAGAAAAGCCTTGACCTAAATTGAAAAGAAACATTGGTGAAGCGTCCATGTATTTCTTACTAAAGTAACACAGCAAGTCATCATTAAAAGTGCACAGTGTAACAGCGTCCGCTACCTAGCCTGATTCATCAGCCGTTTTCACTTAGTGGAAAGCGTCTGACCTCGCAATATTAGAATTTGTTCACTCGACGGTAGGTGGGTACTTTTTAAAATTTAACAAATCGCTACTATTTGGTCGTGCCATATGTAATGCATCGCTAATGGGGCTAACTGGTATATTAAGCTTTTCCCAAATCCTGTAGGAAGAAGGGCAATAACGTCTTTCCCCTTGATAAAATTCACCAAACATTCTCTTTGTTCCGTCTTAAAATCCTCAATCTCGGGAGTCGTTGCCAACACAGAAGGTATGGCTCTTCACTGATTGGTTGGTGCCCGGTCTCACACTTCCGGGGTTTTTGCAAACCGTCTAGTGTTTTCCAATTCCTGACCTAGTCACTGGACAGAAATGAAATTGAGCCAGCCTGGCTACTGCTACCTGCCTATCTCCATAGAAATGTTATTGTTTTGTCTAGAATGTTCCACAGTATAGATACAAGTTACCTATCATGAGCAGGTTACAACACTACGTTACATTACAGTTCAGATCTGTGGAGAGTCACCCCGGACTCTGAGCAACAGAAACATCCAGTTAGATGCACATGTTTAATGTCATATGATAGAACATTTCAGGCAAAGCAATAACATCTCCGTGGAGACACGTAAAGCTGTGCAGTGTACCTTTTAAATTATTAGTTTTAAAATTTTGCAGCTATTTTGGCTTATATTTTTATAGACACAGCATTTTAATTTATTTAATTTTAGGACAAACCTAAGAGTGTCCACAATGTTAAAAGTCATTATCTGGATCTTTTCAACCTTCATAAAATATAGTAACATATTTTAATTTCATGCTTGTATATTATAAAACAGTTAGTAATTCAATAAAACTATACAAAAACTAAACAAAGCAACGCATAAGACAATTGTTATATATGTGAATTACCCTTTGTTTCCTTACACATTACCAGATTAGCTAAAAATTAGCTATAGAATTTTCTCAGGAATTTGTAAATGTAATTTCCAACATTAGATGGATAAGTTGCATGACGAAAAGGTGCATTCTGTTTTATTTTCATAACATTAAAGTGGGCAGATGAGTCTGAAACACGATCATCTCTATTGATTTCATGGTCAGGCTTCCTGCAGTGAAAGAGCTTCTTGGAAAGGTGTGTATTGATCCTGTCCTGTGGGAAGGGACAGAATCAACCAATGTACCAACTGTTTCTTTTACTCCTTACGAATCATGAAAACTGTATGCTAGTCTATGCTTTTAGTTTTGCCCTGTGTATATAATCAGGTTTGCCACTGTGAGAGATTCTTGGAAAGACCTGTGACATGGCCTGGTTGGATAGTGTCCTTTTTCAGAAACCGTGTACTGCTTTTCCATTTCCAATTACTAGACTGTTATATGTTTTTGATGACAGTTAATAAGCCTCCTGGATCAATTTCAAATCTGGCACCATATGGTCATATTAGTCTTTTATTCAATTTGGCTGCACATCAAAAACACTTTAGAATTCAGTTATGATTTCTGGAACAAACCAATGATGAACCTTGGGAGATGTTTTGCCCAGAATGTTCCACAGCATGGTATTAATCAAGTAAACTATCTCTTGCATTAATTCAATTACAGTTTTTTTTTTGTTTTTTTTTAATTGCTCAGAAATGTCTCGAAAAGAATGCATTTGTACTGTGAGTGGGCTTGCCTCTCCAGAGATCTGACCTGTAACTTGACTTGGTGTCACATCTTTATAGAAATAGATACGTTTATTTTGTGGAACATTTTGAACAAGACCATCAGATGGCGGACCAGCAGAAAACTTCAAAAACATGTTGTATTTTGTTTCATTCAGACATGTTTAAGTAATCCTTTACTATTAGTCTGTCTACATATTAAATAGCTCATAATGCTCTGCTCCACCTTGTGATGTCATGAAGCAGTAGTTTACAAGTTAACAGCTCCTTTTAATTTAGTTCAGTGGAGATGGGCCATTCCATGCCTGAAATTTTGCAAATGATTCTAGTGAAGGTGTATGGATCTGAAAAATACAGAAACACTTCCTGTATTTACCACATAAGTGATTCCAGTTAAAGTTATTACTATGGCCTGTTTTAGAGAAATTACATTACAGTGTTTTATTATCTCTCACTGTCCTGAGGTTGTATACTTGCCTTATTCTTTGTTGTAATTGTCTATACACACACACAAGCATACGCACACACACACAAGCACACACACACACACGCACACACACACACACACACACACAAGCACACACACACACACAAGCACACACACACACACACACACACGCACGCACACACACACACAAGCACACACACGCGCACGCACACACACACACAAGCACACACACAAGCACACACACGCGCACGCACACAACACACACACACACACAGCACACACAAGCACACACACACACACAAGCACACACACACGCGCACACGCACACACACACACACAAGCACACACACAAGCACACACACACACAAGCACACACACGCGCACGCACACACACACACAAGCACACACACAAGCACACACACAAGCACGCACACACACGCACACAGACACAATATTAATATATATAATTCCATATTGTCTCATTTATTTGTATCTGGTTTTGTTTGATCAACCGTTAGTAGTAGTATAAACAGTAACATGTCTCCCCCTATCTGCCAAACACGCACAGAATGTGCTGAGTGGATGTGTAAACGTGATGAAATGAAACACCAACAAGACCACATTTGCAAAATACCACAGTTGCTTGAACTTTAATAAATACTCAACATTAAATTCTTTTATGTACAGATATACAAAAAGATCTGTAGGTGCTTTTGCTGCATTAAAAGTATAAAAATACAATTTATTACAGACCCTCCAAGCTCCTCTTTGCATATATATATATATATATATATATATATATATATATATATATATATATATATATATATATATATATATATATATATATATATATATATATATATATAAGCATTGGTTTTCAATAAGCCCTTTGAAGCACAGACACGACAGATATATTTTTCCAGGTTTGTTGTGAGCACCTCAAAGTGAGCACCTCATTTAGTTGTAGTACCTGAGAGGTCCAAGCAGCGAGACAATGAAGTGTAAACCAACGATGTTATTGCGCCATGTTAGTTTAAGCTTTGTGGGTGTGTTGTGTTCTATACAGCCTCTGCAGAGTGAGAATAAGCTTTGTTATCTATAAGTGCTCAAGGGGACAATATTGTGCATTTTCACTGATTCTGGATCAGGCTGGGAGTTGTGCGAGGCTTAGCTTTAAAGTGCTGGAAAACCTACACTATACTTTTTATAAATTTTCTTTTACTTTTCTTTCATTGAAAAGAAATGTACACATACCATAAACATTTTAAAAAATAAATCTATACATATATGAACCTATGCATTAAGCAACCACTTTGAAAAATACTGTTTTTGGTCAGAGTAGCCACGTTTGGAAGTCATCCTTTGAAGCTGCATTTCCCCTCAGACATATTGAATGAGGAAATGAAAACTGACTGAAACTTCTCTTCTGGAAGTTTCACTGGGGGTTAAAAGTGGGACTGCACCCACATGCTTGTGGTCACTCAGTACCCTTTTTCCCTGTTTTTATAAGGTCATTTACTTTTATGTTTTATTGTTTGTTAATAAAAATATTCCTCTTTCAAAGCCACAGAATGCCAATGTGACCACAGCAGTATAGAGATAATGCTTTAGTGGATTTACCCACAGCCCCCGGCCTAAACATGACAATATCTGTCCATCTAAATACAGCAGTCCTATCGTTTATCATGTCCTCGCTTCATACGAAGGAGAAAGTTCCTCTTTTCCTCAAGTAGCTCCTGAATCCGCTTGTTCTTGGTCCGCTCACGTAGGTTGATTCTGTGTTTGGAAATAAGGTTGTCTTGGGATATGTCATTGTCCGCCAGGATGCCACGATTATCAGACATATCAATAATGCTATTTTCACTTTCAGTATAGGCCGGAGTCATTACTATTGTATTTGACTTAATTCCTGGAGAGTTAGTGGTCAGAGGAACAGTGGAGGGATAAGAGGTTGTATCGGGAACATCTACTGGTATGTATTCAGACAAGTCCTGCCATGGAGAAGACGTAAACTCGTTCACATCCTCATTAGTAATGGTGGGTATTACCATGGTTAGTCCGTCATCTAGTACTGTTGCGTCTGTAGCCACGCCTCCTGTGATGTAATCCCCAGTAGCCACGCCCCCTGTAATGTAATCACCACTCACCAATGTCCCACCAGTCACTAACATGTCTCCACTGCTGGTCAAGGTCCCGTCGATGTAGGGCATTGTACCACTGGGCATCACTCCGTCCTCTTTTGGGCTTGAAGTAGAGTTTGCAGTATCATCGTAGTACCAAAGTAGAGGTTCTTGTGTTGTCATCATGTCATTATTCCTATTTGTGACATTGACTGTTAATTCAGGAAAGCTAGTTGTAGTTGGATAAATGCTTTTTGAAGTTAAGTACAAATTTGGGCTTGTGTAAGGAGATGAAGCAATAGTAGTAGTAGCAATGGTAGTAAGAATAGTAGTGGTTGTAGTTGATTTTGGAGACTTCTTTGGAGGATTTGTTTTTACAACTGTGAATTTGTTTACTTTTGGTTTTGAGTTGGATTTCTTCCCTGGATATTCAGCTTTGATCACAGTAAACTTCTTAGTTTCTGTTTTAGTTGTGTTTTTTGGGCTATTTTTGATTTCCGGACTTGTCTGAGTATCCTTTGAAACTTTCATTTTTAGTTGATCTTTCTTTTTGGCATTTGGTGAAACAGGCTTAGGTTTTTTGGGTGTTTTTGTTGTTGCAATTGTCTCTGGTGTTGAACTGGTAGCTATAGAAGGAATAGATGATACAGTGCTCGCTAAAATGGTCTTTTTGAGTGTTGTCGACTTCTTAGTGTTTTTCTTTGGACTGGGTTTTGAAGCTGTCTTCTTTGGTGGAGATTTTTGGGGAATAACCTTTTCTGGCTTTTTCTTAATAATTTTTGTTTTGGGTATTACTTCTTTTTTGGTTGTATTTTTAGGGTTTGCAATCTTTTTATCAAATTTTGGTGGTGGTATTTTCTTCTTTGGTGGCTGTGTCTTTTTAGGTTTTACTTTCACCTTAGTAGCATTAGTCACATTTTCTGCTATCACCACTGAGGTAGTAATTTCTGGTCGTATTGTTGTACTAATCATTGATAACGTTGTCAAATCATTTGTATTTGATTCCTGTTCAGTGGTAGGTGGAGACTGGGCTTGAGTTGTAGACTTGGGGGCAGATGTTGTTAAGTCTATAGAGATTGAATAAGTTGTGGACACTGCACTGGTTGTAGTTGGTGGCTGGGTGTACTGTGTGATAGAAGGAAAGATGGTTATCACAGCAGCTGATGTAGTAAATCTAGTCAAAATGGTGGGTTTTGGAGATGTAAATTTAGATGTTGTTGGTCTAGGGGTTGAGAGCCTAGGAGACAGGGATCTAGGAGACGAGTATCTAGGCGACGGATATCTAGGTGTTGAGGTTGTGGGAAACAAGGTTGTAGACGACAAGGTTATAGGTGCGGTGGATCTAGGAGATAAGGTTGTAGGAGGCATGTGTGTAGGAGACAAAGTTGTAGGAGACATGGTTGTTGGAGAAAAAGATGTAGAAGTTTTGGAAGATGAGGGTCTAATAGTCGTAAATCTTGGGGTGGACCTGGGCATGGTATTTGTAGTGTTGAAGTGTATGTTGCTTTCATCGCTACATGTTTTGCAGCAGAGGCGTCTGTAGTCCGCTAGGGCGCAGTATCGTTTCAAGGCCTCTATTCGACAGAACGCAGACCGGTCTCCATGACAACGCTGGCCTGTGAAGAGAGAGAGAGAGAGAAGTGAGTGCAGAGACTGGGCGTAACCCGTGGGAACAGTCTACATGTGAGAAAGCAATGCATGTCACCTAGAGATACCATATCAAGTGCAGTGAATGCAAAACATGCTGTTACTGTTGGATTGGAAATATAGAGGTATACAGAGTCAAACCATAAGAAGAGGATGCAAAGGAAAGAAGAAAAGATTTGCTGCAGACATTAAAATAGAAAAGTAAAATGTGCCAGTCTTGTGTTGTTTTTGTAGCTCAGACTTGAATCTATTAAAGTAAAATAATCTAATACTTTATAATACCAGTTTTCTTCTTGTACTTAGGTCACCACAGATTCAACATACACTGACATAAATAGCCATGACCAATCCCTTAGGAGCAAAAAGACACTTTTAAAACATTTTTATTGATACAACTTTGCTGTTGAGAATGACAGGAACTCAAACAATGAGATGTATGCCCCTTGCTCAATATATAGATATATTCTTTTCTTAAGAAAAATAATTCAACTGTATCGAAAGTTACAAGTTCACAGTCACTTTGGTAAAACACTTCATTACTTGGAAATCAATCAGTCAATCAGTTTATCCATAAAAAAAAAAGAAGTACATAAATGATATTTGCTGTGGAAATCAAATTCAGAATCTCCATGATGATGTAAAAACTGGAATGGCACATTAAGTGTCATATGAAACATTTACAAAACATTAATAAAATTTCCCTGATAAATCAAAGTGCATATAGACGCAGTGCACATAGTCCATCTGAATGTTTCTTCAACGTTAGCCGAACGTTAGCCAGCCCCACGCAGCAGGCCAGTGAAGCCACAAAACAGTTACCCATAGTATAGAATATTATATAAGAAGTTAACAGTCATGAACATTATTAAATACAGTCAACACCAATGATATATACAGTATCGCACTGCTAGGTCTGGCTTGGTCTCAGACAGTCCAACTCCAGCAGAAGGAAACCTTGGATAGCTCGCTACATAGTCACAACAGAAATATGTGATCACAATACAATGACAAGTCTGAAGTGTTTTCAGTGTCTATACCCTAGGCTTTCTCAGTAGTCGGACACTGGCCCAACGGTTTGATGGTTGGCGGTGTGAGTTTGTTAAGTTGAAGCTGCCTCTAATCCAAGCAAAACTTTGTATGAGTAAAGCCACCTCTTTCACAGATAAAATGCCGTTACATTCAATCCAAGATAAGGCATTGTTCATGTGGTTAATGTTCATCAAAGTAAAATGAGACCATCGGACACTCTCAAAGAAAAGTTTATGAGGTATTTCTGTGTCTGATCGCAAATGTGTAAGAGCCCAAAGATGAAGTTAGACACATGACGCACACTCAGAGACACCCATTCGATTTGGCCTGCACCCGTGTAGAGAAACACAAAATTCATTCACTGTACGTGCACAAAGGTGATGGAGGCAAATGTGCATGACAAACATGATCCTAACTTCAAATCAAAATAACCAAAATAAAACAAACTTAAATAAACAAGAAGCGACAGTAAACCACTGTTCCATCTGAGAGAATGGAGAGGCAACTAACTGACCAAGTCCTGCATAATATTTTCTATCCCCCTTTACCCACACTTTAAACCTTTATTAAATATTCATCTGTACTCATGTAAAATCAATAAAAAAATACACATAACAGTCAAGGATCTAAGCGATCAATAGCAGTCCAAAGGTTTTTAGGCAAATAAGCTACAGCTTATTCATGGTAAAACATTATTTAATATTATTGTTACTCATATATAGATTTAGATTTATAGGTATATATTTATATATATATATATATATATTTATAAATACAAATATATTTATAGATGTATTTGTTTAAAGTCTGCAAGCACAAATAAGCTGCATTTATTGAACTTTAGTATAACAGTCAAAGAGAGATGGCTGATGATGAGGTGAAATGGGTCAGACTACCCTGTGTTTTTATCTTTTCAGTCCTCACCTCACAGTTCTCCCCAATCTCAGGTTTACGCGTGTCACTTCCTGTCCCTGTGCTGACTGAGAATGGAATGTAGCATGGGCCATTCTCACCCCAATGGAACCAGGATGTCAGATGAGCACTTTAGCAAAGGTGTCCTCATTGTGACAAGATCACATTCACAATAAAGCTTTCATATTTTTTAAACTTTTTATATAGATATTTATATACCTTTATCTGGTTATTTTCACATCTGTTTTCTCCCCACAATAACAGTGCGCTACAAAAAGAAAGAAGCACACTGCATCTCAGGAGTGGTAACCCAGAACAATACGCAGCTAGCTTGCGCAAAACATGGCCACCAAATGCAGAGGAGGCCCCACAGACTGAACAGCTCTCTGACACGCACAGTGTCAAGAAAACCGGTGTGCCCTTCCACTGAAATATTTGTTAGGTGTCAAATATTTAGTTGATCTTTTGAGTGTTCGACTGGCCAGCGGTTACAACACAATGCTCCACAAAGGAGAGAGAAAGAGAGAGAGACAGAGCACATAAGGAGACCTCCCCCAGTTAGAGCCGTCTCACACACAGAGAGAGACACTACATCCCCTCCACCAAAAGAGAAGCCCGGGGCCACAGGCACCAGCGCAGAGGGGTCAGGGGGCCAGACGGGGGCCCGGCAGAGACAGGAGGACAGAGAGCGGCAGCGCCCACAGCACACACATGCTGCCGTGGAGACCAGGCTGGCTACTATAGAGGGAGGTTTTACGTGAAGAGCTCTTTGGGTAAGGGTTGGGTCTGGGCAGAAACTGGATCAGCATGTTGCCATTCTTGTTGAGGTCTGAGGTGCCCTCTGCAAAAAGACAAAATAATACATTTTGAAAATGTAGTTTAATCTGTTTTTTTAATGTTTCCCTTGAGAAATGACTCACTGGGACACGGCTCCATGCGACAGATCCTTATGGTGTCCGGTTTACTGTCCAGACACAGGCCGATGGTGTTGTCCCTTGTGTGACAAAGAGCCTGCCTCTGCTGGGTCCCATTGCCACAGGTCACTGAGCACTACAAAACACAAATCAATTTTAAAGCTTCAAACTGTAGGCATTGACACAGTATCACAGTGCACTGTGTTAAAAGGGGCCCTCTGAGTGTCCTGACCTGTGTCCAAGACCCCATTCTCCACTGGGCGGGACAGGGATGGCGGTTGCAGGGCTGGCGGGACTCTGGGCGGTCATCGTTACAGTGCTTATTGTGGATGGTGCGGGTGGTGTTGTCTTCTGACGGCTGGACACAAGTGACGGAGCGTAACTGCAAACCTGTCTTTCCACACGGTTTACTGCAATTCTTCCACTCTCCTGTCACCCAACTGCAGCATCCCAACAAGAAGGGGAAAAGCTGAAGATTTAAGGGGAAAACAAAAAGCAAAACCACTTTAAGATAAGGAGCTTACATTGGCGGAGGACAGGGCTTGGGGTTGCAGTCACGAACGTCTCCAATAGGTTTCCTATTGGACTTGTTACAGAAGCTTTTATGGACCATTTTACTGTCAACTATCCGTCTGCATCCATATCGTTGATACTTTTTTCCTGCAACACAGAGCAGTGTTAGACATACACCTCAGTCTTCAGATGCTAGGCAGGATTCCCCATTCTATTATAGTCTCATTGTTTTAGCTGTACCTCCGCCACAGGGCTTGGAGCAGAGAGACCATTTCTTGGGTGCCCACTCATACGCACTATCCTCCACTAGCATGTTGTTCTGAATGGCACTGTTGCTGTCCATGTTCATCATGTATTTGTATGTGAGGTTCACATCCTCATCACCCTGCACCTTCACCTGAAACATAAGTTCACACATTTAACACATGATTTAACATGTAGGGGCAGACATATGAAGTGTTTATTACCATAATGAGGACTCCGTGTGTGAGAGGGCCAGTGGACTGAAGAGTTTCTTTACCATTGTCATTCTCATACTCCCACTCCACCCCCTTTTCTATGAGTGAGCGGGTTTTTGAATTATCAGTCTCCCCATTAATAAAGATCTCTCCTGATGCCACATTTTTCACAGCTAAAGAAATAACATTGGATTAATACTAGGCATAAAACAGGATAAAATGAGATTTAATCTAATGAGGTACAAACCTAAAGTGTGGGGAGCTGCTTCAAGCTCCTGAATCAACAAGTGCCGTGCTCCTCGCGGGACCTCAAGGACTTTAAGGAAACCTAAATGAAATACAGATTGGTTTTATGACATCATTAAAGCTCAACTGGCAGTTTCCTGACTAACAGCCACAGCTTTTCCTGGAAAACCCTCTTACTCACAATGACAAAATAATCCTGCTTCATGACTGAAATCCCACTGGTCTTAGCTTTCTTCATGGCAAACTGCAGCGACTTTGGTTTTTAAAAATGTGGTATTTTCCAACCTCAACCTTGATGTAATCTATTGGCAATGCACAACATGTATTAAAAGCTGTTGGAAAACTCAGTGTGGATTGGGTAGGTTTAGACCTCCTCTAGAGGGCAGCATTGAACTAAAGATACACATTGCTGTCTTAATGTAACTGGTAGGCAGAAAGGCCTGAGTGCTGCAGGTGGGACATACCCTGTTTCTTGGTGATGCGGGTGATGGTGTCTTTAAACGTTTTGCAGCTGGAGTTGTCTCCTCCACAGACTCCACACTTGTCATCCTGCTTTGACGAGCCCACCACACCATCACAGCCCACTCTCTGTTCAATCAGAGACAGGAGTTAATGAATTATATTTACACTGGGCTATTAAGTAAACCTAGCTTTTTTAACAACACATATTGATGTGAGTAGTAATCTGAAGTAATTTTAAGGGAAGACATGCACAACTTCATGCACTCTGGCCTTAAAAATAGACTACAGGCTGAACAGCCAAGTTACTTTAGCTCCTACTCTTTTGCAAAACATTTGAGTTTCTTCTATCCTGAGTTCTTTTATAACTGGTCTAAACAGGAGTTATGGTTTAGAAAAATCAGGACAAACTTGTCCTTAAAAACGTGCACTATGTAACTTTTCTAGAGGGGGTTCAAACTCACGATCTATCCTTCTTACCACAGATCAGACCTGCACTTTTTGGCATAAATGGAGAGTGATACATTTAATGGAATAATGTCATTATATATCAATATTATTATTAAGTTACGTGGGACCATCTTTAAGACCAACACTTGAATGCATTTTGTGGCCACTGCATCATGTCCTGGCAACAATATCAATGGATGTGAAAAGTTATAATGAATGACTGTAATCGTGTGTAGTCAGAGAAACTGACCTGACACTCCCCTCGCACGCACACACTGTGTGGGTCTTTGTAGGAGCAGCGCGTCCCATCCAGCACCATTCTCTGCATGAAGAGCACATCACGAGTCTCCTTCGATTGGCAATGTAAGTGGCAGCGTTTCTTAGCTGCAAAATACAACAATATAAACTGTTACTGACTCACACATTTGTCTAGTGATGTCATTTTATAATCTGTAATTAGGTAATCTATGACTCCAGCAGTAGGTTTGTAAACCCCAAACAAACCATACATCATGTGAAGCTCAGGAGCCACAGTCAATGATAATATATTACTTTGCTGTGGTTATTTGAATTACCACAAATATATTCTGTGTGATTGTGATCTATATCTGTATATCTATATCTATATATCTATATCTATCTTATCTCTCTCTCTCTCTATCTCTCTCTCTATATATATTTGGTAATAATGGAGTGATTTCTCTAAAAACATCACATCCAATTAAAGACTAAATCTATTCAGAACGGCAGTTGTTAGCCCGGTCTATCTGGTTAAATAAACAGGCAACTGTATTAAAAGCTCTAATGTGGCAGAACCACTAACAAGGCCCTTGCCGAGCCACAGACCAAGAGGGCTGTTTCTGTGTTGACATAGTGAAAATCGAGACAAAACGGTGGCACCCCTTTCTAAACAAATTGTACAATTTCACTCTGGGCACAGGGACTGTCTGCTGCTTGAACACATTGCTACATGCACCACATACACCGCAGAGACAACTATTTGACATGATAAGATAGAAAACAATTGAGCACGCTGTTTGTGAAGAGCCTGTAGCGTGACATGCACTTTTCTCCGGGGCTGCCCTTTAGATAGATAATGATTTCATACTCCATAATAAAATGACACTTAAATCAAACAGAGCAGGTTAAACAATATCTATGAGGTAATACCCGACAAGAAGGACACCAAGTTCAAAGACTTTCATAACACATTTTGGAAGAGGGCGTTGTCTGGCCTCAAAGCAGGACAACCAGATGTCAATGACTATAGCAGACCTCTGGCTATATATGTAACACTATAAACCCAAACCGCATCCAAAAATTATATGTTAACTTTTGGGCTGTAATTTGAATTAACAACTTCCAAAGGAGATCTTCACTTTGTCTTTTCCAGTTTCTGCACAAGCTCCATGTGTAGGTGTTTGCTTACGGTCTGGGTGTTCATAAGGCAGCAAGTGGTGTATGTTGCTATTGAGATCAAAGCGCGGGTCCCAGGCGTGGCACTGCTCCTCTCGCGGGTCGCTGTAGATGTCCTTGCACTCCTCCCTGTTGCACATCTGGAACTGGTACGTGGCGCCCACACATGGGCGCCCTTGGTTGGCTGGTCTGGAATTTGCATAAAACACATGCAGGTGTTCAATGCAGGATTACAAAGGTGTTCAGCAGCGATGGCTGGTCAATAGAGGGTGCACGTGCACCGCACTCCCTAACTTGGCCCACATAAAAATAAAAAATAAAAAATTATAAAGTTGTTATTTTGTATTATGGCTATATGTTTCATATTTTGCATAAAATTGAATGTGATTCTGTATAGACATATTTTTTATCATGTTAAATGTGCTCATATTACTTTATTTGGTTCATGTGTTTGCTGGGCCAGAGTAAACTCAATGGAGTTCTATGGGAGAGCCTGAAGTTTTGAGAACTTTTGCTTATGCATATTACTTTACATTGCAGCCCTTGGTGGCACAGGGTGGGGGTGAACTCAAATCAAGTGACTGGTCTTTATAAATGTTATCACACACCTGACTTATTGTGATTCAATGTGCAAGCTCTGTCCCACCCAGCCCCAACTCTCCACTGGGGCCATCTTACTACTACAGGCTAACGAATGTGCTATACGAGTTATGGTGAGTTCAACTTCAAGTCAAAGTGCATTCCAGGAACAGTTTTTATGGAGTAATATGTCTTCTCTTCAGCGGGACCCTTCTGCCAAGCAAGAAAAGAAACACTCACATTGGCTGGTGGCAGATAGTTACTTTCACCTAAACCTCCGTACAGGAGAGCGTGAGGAGAGACACCGCTAATCAGACCAGAGCAGCAGACACACAGCACCCTCTGCCGCCACGACCCGGAGCACTTGCTCGCTGCTCTGTCAGCCTCTGCCAGCTTGTTTCTGGGCGTAAACGTTTCACCTGGGTGTAACGTGCTTAAGTCTACCTGGTGCCCTAGTGCTAATATGGACTAGCCATAACTTTCAGATTTCAGTGGGAAACAGGATTAAGACTAGTTTTATGGCCAAATCTTGCAGTTAGTTCCCAGACCTCGTGTCACGGATCTGACTGGACCTGGAATTGGACCAATTTCATCTCTTCATACTGGACAATAATACACTTTTGGAGACAGAGCTAATGGGACAGCGGATAGAGAATACACTCTGCTTCAGTCCTCTGGAGAAGGTAAGATGCAAGCATCTTACCTTCTCGTACATTTTGGGCAAGTCTGAGGACAGAGCTTCACAGATTAGTAGTGTTATAGTGTTAATAGTTAAATAGTGTGTAAATGAGCTCGTGGGTGTGCTCCGATTGTTCTGCCATGTGTTGTAGGCGCGGCACTGATGCCATGTGTTCGTGTTTTAACGGTAGCCTCTTATTGTAGTTTTGCTGATGTTGGGGCTGGTTGTGAGCGGTGGATCAGGTTGTGCTGCTGCGTAAACTTTGCAGTTGGCTGTGTGTTGTGCTCTGATAGTTCAGCCAATAGTGACCAAAATGACTGCCTATTTCTGACATTCGTTATAATACTATATAGTCTATATATAATACATATATTTATATTAATACATATATTTATATTATATATTATTTATAATTATACCACCAGCTGCTGCTGATGTTCAGTCACTTTCAAAATATTCAGCTTTTATAACTTGTAAATTATTTTGTAAAGAGAAACAAAGAACTTTTGTGTTGTGTAAACAGACACTGAAGAAACTTCCATAAATAAATGTATAATGCTACAGAAGTCTTAAATTGGGATTATCCATACGCTAGACTATTGGTATATAGAATTGAGCATTCATTTATTGATTTTCAGGCTTGTAGGTGTCCTTAACTGAGATGCACTGATATCGTTTCCCACAGGGAAATTTAACATGGACAACTAAGGTCTACAGTAATTCAGTTTCTTTCTTTAATTGCAATAATTTCTCATGGTGCATTTTGAGCTTTTTGCACATGTCTTTCAAATGTGTATTTTGATTACAAATGGAAAATAAGTTAACCTAACCAATTTTTTGTTACTCATTTTAAGAGAGTACCTGGGATTGTCACAGTCGCGTGTGCGGAACTGTACTCCTCCTCCACAGGTCCGGGAGCATTGTCCAAACTCGCTCCACGAGCCCCAGTTTCCATCTTGTTTCATGATGTCGGGGGTCAACCACATGCATTGACCTTTAAAACAGTGCTAGGAAACACAGGGGGAGTTCACTTGAAGAGTTAAGATACTTTAAATAACTTAAACACACTAAAGAAACCTAAATGTAACTGACATGTCAACACACATTAGAATACATACCAAAAGGACATAACATTAGAAGGAAAAACAAAACCATGACACAAATAGAATAAAAAAAGCTACAAATAAAAATTAAAAAAGTGTTTCCCTGGAAGAGGCCTGTACCCTTTCTGTACAGTGTTTTGTGGTTTGTGCATACCTTGCCATCTCCACACGTGGTGCCATCGATGGGTGGTCCTTTCTTAGTCTTGCAGAAGAAGGGATTGTCTGGGTGGCTGCACCACAGCTGCTTACATGGGTCAAAGCTGCGATACTGCAGAGCACAGAAGAGGCACAGGTTAAAGACTGTGCACTTAAGTCTGAGCTATAAAATAATCATTGCTTGAATGACTCAACACTGAAAATAGAAAATAAAAATAGATGAAAATAGGGATTTCACAACAATAAGCACAACCGTGTTATACTGACAGATACAGCACCCCTTCACTGAGTCACTGTACACTACGTTCCACAAACACAGACCATTCATGCAAACTCAGCCAGGGATCATCTCCACAACACACTGCTCAGATTCAGGTCACAGGGTACGTTATAGGGAAGGGGCCAAAAGGTCAGGCCTGTGTGACCTCCAAAATGCCCCCGGACATTGGTAAAGGATCAAATTGTCTTGTTTGTCTGATTAAATCCATTGATGAGGAGTGCACCGCATCGACACAGTCTAGTGTCCTTCTTTTCAAAGTCTCTGCCCTAACCTGGATGACCCCGAGTGACCTTTAGGGGGTCAGACACCAAGTTACAATAAATGACTTGACTGTGGTAGGTGCAGGTACAGATGACATTAGACTGGAGGATCCTACAGTGGAACATAGAAACAATGAATGTTCTATGTGCAGAGAATGTTTGCTCTTCAAGGCTGTCAATGTTATGACATCTTTTCAGTTGTGCAACATATTTTTTATGTATTTAAAAGGGACAAGATCTCATGCCACAAGATTGTGCACACGTGAGAAAAATTATCTTATGAGATTTTGGAATTGGACAGTAAATGATGCTGGTGAGTTATACCTCTTAAGATGCTGTCATTGTCAAAAAAACAAACAGACAATGACACCAAAAGTTTAACATAAAACAAAAAAAATTGCATTGCAATTATTATACACATAATGTCAAAGTCTCGATCTTTTGGACCCAATCTTGTGTCTCGTCTCATGGGAACTGTCTCACCCTTAATATTTGGACAAAGGAACTGTATGTTGCCTCAAATAGAAAACATTAATGCATTTTAACTGTTTAAAATAATTGTTTGACAATCCTACAGCCTGATGTCCACAATATGAAATGACCAAACTGATTAAGACACTGCACCAGAATAATTCACACAGACACAGAAACACATGTTGGGGAGGTGTGGTTACCTTACCTGTGTTCCCTGTAATTGGCCCGCCTTTTGTAGCTGAGGGGAATGGGTTTGACAAGAGAATGAAGGATAACTAGCAACGTGAGCAAAGCCCTGAAAAAGCCCTGTGTCAATCAAGCAACACTCCCTCTACAGCACAGGGCCACAGTGGCTTCACAATCAGACAAAAGACAAAAGAAACTACACTCATACTACTCTGAGACACTGAGTCTAGATTTCCTAAACATAGAAATAGTGACAGGATCATGTGAAGGCACTGTGGATCAAACTTAAGTTTATAGCCTCATGTACAGTGTTGGTGAGAACTATCAAAGCCAAATTACCTGCTTTTAAAACAGATGTCAATCCCACCAGTGGCCGTGAGAAAGAAGCACAAGACATCACAGAAATGTGAATAGCTGATTAGAGCTCGCCACTTCTGTCAACAATGTATTTTCTGCTTTTATAAGACTCAACTGAATTTGCCTTGGACTATATTGTGGAGCAATCTCAACTACTGCTAAGTGGGACTAGGTTAGTGGTTTTGCTTCATATGCTGGTGCGTGCAGTCATACTATAGGGGATTTCTTACCGCGGTGCATGTCGTGTACCCCGCACCGAAGTCGAAGCGGCACTGTTCATTCATGGAGTAGTACAGACCAGGAAGTTGAGGCAGAGATGGCCAATTATGGTCAAAGGGGTCGTCACGAAGACAGTCATAGGAACTGAGAATGAAGGAGAAGTACATAAGTAGTAGCTCAGTGCAACAATAACAAAGTAAAAGCAGGTGGATTTTCATCAGACCTTGCTTCAGCCAAGGTCTGGACACTGGTTGCTCTGGGTCTTTTTTGCATGTTAAATAGGTTCTTTCTTCTAGAGCTAAACAGACACTATTCTACTGGTCATAAAAGAATTGAGTTATCCCAAAGATAAAATACATCCAAACCTATGGCTACGGAAGAGTAAAATCACCCAGACATCACAAAGTGCTGCTATTGTTTTGTGTGACTCACTGTAGGTATCGCCCCAGCTCCTGCATGCTACATCTGGACCAGTGGAAGCGGTGGAAGGCAGCCTGCACCAGAGGCGCCATGATGCTGCCCATGTGCACCTCGTCCCCACAACGGTTCCCCTGGCCATCATGCTCCATCCCGAGTCTGAACACAACCAGTATATATATACATATATATATATATAGAGAGAGAGAGAGAGAGAGAGAGAGAGAGAGAGAGAGAGAGAGAGAGAGAGAGAGAGAGAGAGAGAGAGAGAGAGAGAGAGAGAGGAGAGAGAGAGAGAGGAGGGAGAGAGAGAGAAGGATGGAAGAGTCAGATCAGGCCAGACAGATTGGGAATGTGTGGGAGGAGAAAACAGAACAAGCAACAAAGAAAGAGGAAAGCAGATGTGATAATCAGATCCTGTTTAATGTGACCATTTGAATTGAATATATCACTCGTGTTTAGTTGTATTGTACATTGGTTTGTTGTTAAGAGTGCTACTTACACATGTCCAGTCTCATGAGCCACCACAAAGGCAGAGGAGAAGCCGTCCTCGTGGTTCAAAGTACAGCTTCGCACAGGATGGCACATGCCAGTGACTGGGGCGTAACCTGGGGCACAAAGGGGTGTGACAAGCAAATTTTTTCATTGGGTAAAAGAACATTTTTATGTTATTTGTAACTATAGTACTAGGGATGTAACAATAAAATATTGTAATATTGTATCATAAAAACTCTCAAAAACAATAACATCATGTAATTCTGAATTATGGTAGCAATGATTCATATACCACAAATCTTCACAATTCTGTTAAAGTCTCCAAAATATATTATTATAATATAAATATTGCAGCAAAGACTGTGAGGTGCATATCGTGATAACATCATATTGTGAGATTTGAATATTATTATATTTCTATTTAATACTTTCTATTATAAGAAGCTAATTCCATTTTCAGTATGAGTCTATCTATGATCATGAATACTAGCATGTATTGATCTATTATTTGTTTAGTAGGTACAAAATTTTAATTCACAAAAATATATTTTAAAACTGTGTGTCTTTTAGGACAATAGGGCCTAACATTTTCTCATAAAAGAGAAAGAGAAATTAGCAATAACTATAATTGATGATAAACCTAAGGCTGCTTAACAGTGGCTTTTACACTTAATTGTTTCTGTAAGTTATAACTAAAAATTATATTTTCACGATACTTCAGCAGCAATAGGCCCTTGTCTCTCTGTTCACACGCACAGTGCAGAAGTGTCAGTCATGTCAATCACAGTGGCGGATATTGATTACCTTTAATTGGCCTCAGACAGTATCAAACCGTCTGCCTGTTCCCACATGCTCATTTATAAAACACAGTGTAACAAATATATTCAGGCTGCTGTGTTTACATCTGACCCTGTGTGTCACCCTTTGCCCCTCGCACGCCAATCTCCCACTCCCTGTGAGCCGCTGTGGCCCGCGTTGGCCATAATTGTGGCGCTGTGGCTGGCACTGTGGCTGGCCCCGCTCCGTCTATTGATTTGGAGCAGCTGAAGGCTGAGCCCAAGGGCAGCTGAAGGGCTCCTGGAGAGGCTGGCCACTGCCTTTAGAGGCCTCTCCCCTGGGTCTGCCTGTTAGCCTGCACTCTGCTGCACAGTCAAACCACCAACCACCAAACCACAGGCAGGGCACTCTTAGGCCGGCAGAGCTGTGTCTGGATGCCAGATTTATACATCAGTCCTACACGCATACACTGTTTTTACATTCATTATTATGTTATGTTACTATGTATTTTATGTTACATGTTGTACTCCAGATTTGTTATGAAAAAAAGAAAAAAAAAAACGGAAATGAAATGTAGGGCTGTAGTCTACTGAAAGAATTCTTGGCCGACCAGGCCTGTGCATCGATTTTTTACTAAAAGGGGGCGTGGTGTGGTACTAGAAAAAGTTCTCAAGAAGATAAGGGTCTCATAGTAATTAAATATCTTAATAGTAATATATATATTAAGGTATAGGAATATTAAACTGTCCAGTCACTCCCAAAACTCCAGCTAACTCACGCCATGCACTTTCCTTTCTGTTGCTTCTGTGCGTATAACCATTTCTAATAACAACAACAATTAGCAGACTAAGACTCCACTGACTCCAACACAAATTAAATGATTATTAATATTTAGTAATGTTTTTATTTGTAAAGAGAAGAGGCATACTTGTTTACTGAAATAACTGAGTTCAGTTATGGAATAGCTGGATATGTGTGCATGCCAAAACAAAAATCTAAATTCACTGTACTTGATGTAATGCAAATGAGATGTTACCTTGCATGCCAGTGGGACCAAACTCCTGCCGCGTTAGAAATATGGCGTGATCGTGGTACTCCGCATCGCCCGTGTCCTGCTTCTGCTGGAGAAAAGCCCACCGGCACACATTCTCCAGGCTCTGAGAAGGGTTTCCCAGTTCAATCAAACTCGTCGACTGGAAAAGACACACACAAACACAAATCATGAAACTGACTCCATCTGTGTACACATCAAACACCGGTGCTCCTCTTCACTGGGCTTACAACACTCCTCTCTTCCCTGTAGGGGGCAGTGTCACAGTGTGTGACTTATCAGCACATCCCACAAACTGCTGAGGTACAACAACATGCACAAGAACTGAAACAAATGCACAAAAGAATGCATTATAGCTACTCTGATCCTGCTGATTTAAATAATGAACATGAAAAACTAACAGGGTGCTTCTTTGTAATGAGCTACTCCAAAAACATGCCCAATTAGAAAACATTTACTTTTGATTAAATGCATAATACATTGCAATGCCCCGGCAGCCCTTCCTTTCACCTTGGTTGTACTTGTAAAAGCCCCACTCACTTTTCTACCCTCCATCTTTGGACATCTCTTAATTTTCCCCCTTTTCTTGCTCTTTTTGCACATGCATAGCTGAACCAAACAGCAAGGAGAGTGCATAGTTTGCTGCAGCAGAGACATATGGCCTGCCTCTCCACACATGATGGAGTGTGAATGCGCTGCAAAAGCCCCTCAGACACACTGCGCTCTTTACATGTGTGTACTTAATCTCGTGCATCAGGTGCTTTCTCTATATTTTATGATCTCTAAAAAAGCTTGCTTGTATGTGTTTTTTTATGTTTTAAGTGTGCATGTGCCTGTGCGTGCCTGCATTCAGGGTCACATAGCCAATCGGCAGGCTGTCTGGGTGCAGCTCTGTTGCCACGGTAATTGGGGATGATGGACAGCCGCGAGCTTTGGCTGGAGCAGCATCGGGGCTGGTCCAGAATGACCAATGTAGGAGTGAGTGTGTATCGATGCTCAGACCATGGACACACAGAGGAAGAGAGATAAGGATGAAGCAGCATGAATGCTTGCATCCTTGTACAACAGTTCAATGATATCCAAAATCCAAAAGGAGAGCAGAAGGCCAGTACTAATATGCAACAGACTATTATATGGTTCTACTAATATACACTTCAGATTAACTACATGTTTAATAATCTGAATAACACATGAACAAAGACTTAATTCATAATGAATCAATAGAATGATACCGAATGATACAAGCTCAGTAAATGGTTAGTTAAAGGGTTAAGGTTAGGAGTTATGGTACTAAGCTAAAATCTTTGTAAAAATTTCTCATTATGATTTAAGTCAGGGGTGTTAAATATATGGCTCCGGCTCTCGGCTGATTTTCTACTAAAATATTTTAATTATATTTTCTATTAAATTATTGGTAATTTTCTGCACTGCTTAGCATAGCAGCGTCTCCAGCGCCTCTGTGCGTGGCCCCTCCCACCAGAGCAGCACAAATGAAGACTTGGCTCTTTCCAAATGCTCTTAAAGGACGATCGTTTTGACTGTTGACTGTGACACCCTCATCAGCAAAATGACAAAAATGGGAAAAGTGGATGCCGATTGCAGGATTTTCCAACAAAAATGGACTTATTCCTATTTGCATACAAGTTAATGTTAAAACACTGTGTTGAAATTGCATTTTTCTTAAAGTTTGAGTTCATCAATTAAAAGAGATTTCTGTAATATATTTGCGTTTCTCTGGACAAATATTTGAACTTATTGCTATTTTTGAGGTATATATGCCATTTTTTTTTTTTCCGGCCCTTTTGGGAACAATTGTTAATACTTTATTAAGGCTAAATAAGGTTGTTATAAAGTGGTACCTGTTTTCTAATATATTTTGTTGAGCCATGCTGTCCTGTATAATGTCACATATTTGAATCCTTTGCGTTCATGTCACACAATTAAATAATCCCTATAGTTTAAAATGAGCTGGAGGACAAACATTAGTGGTGGAATTTGCTGTTTAACTGTTTAACTGTCAAAAAGCAGATGTTTGACCTGGCTTATGGCAAATTAATATTTCTGTAATTACTGGGCCTATTCATATGAAACAAAAACTGCCACAAAGTTCAGCATCTCCTTTGTCACCACAAGTAACGGTGAAAGGTTTTCACAATAGCTTTAGAAAGTATCATCATTACTCAACCCCATGACATGATTGTTGTCATTTGAAAAGATGTTGAGCCATACATTTTATATAACAGATTTGTGGAAACAGTCCTTAACAAATAATGATAATGGTCAACAATTATGGGTTTTCCTTTTGGATATTTCTTTCCAAAACATGAAATCTTCCATAGAGCGAGGCCTCTGTCCCCCATCAGCCTGAACTATAAGCTTATCCTACTTTGCTTTAGATGACAGGTCAAATGCTTTGACACTGTAATAGAGAAATGATCAGTTCATTTGGTCCTTTACAGAAGATGTAAACTTTGAACAGTATACCGGTTACATATGATTAGCAGCCTGGACTACCCTTCCATCCATATTAAAATTTGGCTTTAATGCATCCTTTTGTATGACAGCAGCCCTGTCTAGCTATAAAATGGTATCTTTCTTTGGGGTTTTCCATTATCTTACTCTTCCACTCCCATCCGTCCGCACAGATAGATTGAGTTACAGTAAAGGAGAAGAATGGATGCTACCCCTGTGTGTTTATGAATGAGGGAGGGCTATCATTGATTGTTTATCTTTGCCTGGACTTCCCATGATTCACTGTTGCAGCCGGTCGGGAAGAGGAAGCAGGCAGATTGCATAACGGACAAGAGTTTGCTGTGTGTGCTCGCATTGGTGCTGAACTGTGAAGGCGTGTGACTTGAAAACATTCCCCCGGGACCCTGCATGCTTTTAGTTTCTCTTTTGCTCAGTGCACTGGAATAACAGGCCGGGGGCATCAGTGCGTGTTGATGAGCGCACGTGTGTGTTTTGGCCGTGTTTGTTTATGTGTGTAAGTCTGGTCTGTGCTTACTGTAGAGTTAGTGTAGCGAACACAGGGACATACACTTTCTAAGAACTGCTCTTACCTTGCCATTGCCCAACATGATAATCCGCACCAGTACCACGTTGATTTTGGCTCCCAGGGACTGGTCGTGGTAGATCTCGTTCACCTGGACACACACAAAACAAAGACATTTTTACAAACAGTTAATCAAATTTAGCCACAAGTTGAATTTAAGTAGATCGAAGTTGAAGTGGCCAAAGTCTGAGTTCCAACAACAAAAATGGATGAACAAGTAGGCATGGGTGATATGACAAAAAATAATTTAACAATTTCCTGGGACCCAGATGACAATTTTTATCACAGTTCATGTACACTTGGTATTTTTCTTTCACCTTTAACAAGCAAATAAAGTAATCTTCTTCTTATGAATATTTACAGTTTTATTTGTATCACCATTTCACCCAGCCTTACGCCCTCTGTCATACAGCTCAGTATATTACTTGAAGTCCAAATAACATATGTATGTCATTATTTTCACCATACCAAAACATCAGCACTTTTGTTGTCTAACCAACAAACCAACTGACAACAACAGTGGACACATTTTAGAACCAGTACTATATTGACATGTCCATTCCTTTACAGAATATGATCTCACAAACACCAGTAAAATATCTTACTGTTGCAACAAGTAACAGAATTTCATAGTCGCTATAGCAGTTAAAAATACGCTATAACTTTTGGTAAAGCGCGTGAACTCTCAGTGTCGACACACAGAATCTATTGTATTATTTTTAGTGCAAAAGCATTGGAGACCACTTTGAGAGTGGACATCGGGACAACTGTCACCGGTGCCTGGCCCAAAATAAAGAGTGCACTGAACTGGGCTTCCCATGAGCACAGATGGGTTGGATGAGGGGAAGAGGAGAGCACTAAGGAGAGAAATGGCTTAATGCAAGGAAACAGGGTAATTTGTGACACAGGAGATGCAGAGACAACGGTGCAGACACAACGCCAGCGCCATGGAGAGGAGCGCTAAATTGGCATTGGGAGTCGAGGGCTGCTGTCCTCCGTGTGCTGTGTGCGGTGCTTAATGAGGCAAAGGGATGTAAAAACAGACAATCATAATGAGAAACCTGATGGACACGCGGCACACACACACACACACATACACACACAAAAGGCAGAAGAAAAGACAAGAGCAGACACACAAGAGAGGAGGCAGTGGAGAAATGCACCATACAGCCTGGAGGGAGGACAGAGCAGCGCTAAGGGACAACAAAGCAGAAGAATCCTCAAAAAGTTGTGAAAATGTAGATAAAAAATGGCATTTAACATATCGATCATGTATTTAATTACAAGTTGTACAAAAGTATTGAAAAACATGTACTCTTACAGTGAATTGGGTTGGCTCTCCACAGAATTGACCTGTTATTTCGACCGAAGTCATCACATGCCTGTCTCCAAGGAAACAGAAAAGTTGAGAACCATACTGTGGAATAGTCCAGCCAAAACAGTGGAGACAAGCAGGTGGCTGACCCCACAAACCCCCAACAAAAAAGTTACATAACACACCTTTAATTGGTATGATTCACGTGACAATAATCTAGAGGCAGACTGTCCTCTCGCCTTTCTTTTCTTGAGCAATGGGCAAAAACAGATCTGTATTCATGATGGTACCGTGCTACAGTTATGCTAATATTACTTTATTATTTTGATTTGTTTATTTTGAGTTTGTGCCAAGAAAAAAAAACATAATTTACATAGTTATATATTATAAACAGGACAGCACATTTCTCAAAAAGGAGTGGGTAGAAGACAAACTTATATTTTTCTTATTTATTAGAAATTGCTATTGTATTTTCGAGCTCCTGTGTCTAGGTAATGCTCTTATTGTTTATGTTTATATTTTTCCAGAATTTCTTATTTGCCATTCAGAGATGACACTTATAATCAATCCAATCCACCAAAATGTACGAAGAAGTTGGAAAAGTCCACCAATCTTTCGGAAAAAATTTGTTTTGTAAGCCACAGAATCCAAATTCCTTTAACATAGCTTGGGAAAACTGCTTTGATGACATAAACAGTGGCAGAACTGACGAATCCAAGACATAATCATTGTGAGTGACACTGGAATTTTTTAATTATTATTATTATTATTATTATTATGTTTATTTATTTCGGACAGTAATACATAGAACATAAATTAAAAAACAAAAACAAAAAACTAAATAATAAAAAAAGACAAAAACGTAAATACATAGATATAACACAAAAAGTAACTATTTCTATTCTATAATAACAGGCAAAATAAATGTTACACAGAATTTTCCTTGTGTCCGAAAAAGGAGTGGGAGGAAGTAAATACTTATTTAACCCCACCCCTTTTTTCTACAGTCCCAAATTAACGAAGAACAAATACAGACTTCTCATTTCCTGTACATTATAAGCAGTAATTGCACAGTACCTCCATTGCATTACAATCTAACAGACAACAACAAATATATGTATATTATGTACACAGATATAGTACACATCATATACACAGATATAATATATACATACCTACATACACATCACATACCCATGCATACCTATATATATATATATATATACATATATATACACCCATATACATACACATACATATACATGCACACATATACACTAAGCACTCATTTCTTCCGCACAGTATTTTGAAATAATTAATTTTTTAATTGCCCTTTTGAATACATGTATATTCGAACAAAGTTTTAATTCTATTTTCAAGCTGTTCCATAATTTCACACCACAAACAGAGACACAAAAACTTTTTCTTGTCGTTCGAGCACGAGGCAATTTAAAATTCAAAACGCCTCTTAAGTTATAGTTTGTTTCCCTTTCACAAAAAAGTAGTTGAAGATTTTTTGGTAAGTGCTTATTTTTAGCTTTATACATGACTTGTGCAGTTTGGTACAGAATCAAATCATTCAGTTTGAGTAATTTGGCATGAATAAACAGTGGATTAGTGTGGTCATGAAATTTGACATTATAAATAATTCTTATTGCTTTTTTTTGAAGTTTTATCAATGGTTCTATTGCAGTTTTATAGTTATTGCCCCAAATTTCTGCACAGTATGTTAAATATGGTAAAACCAGTGAACAATAAAGTGTGTGTAGTGCTCTGTGATCTAAGACATACTTTGCTTTGTTTAATACTGCAATACTTTTTGATATTTTATTATGTATATATTGGATGTGGGCTTTCCAGTTAATCTTCTCATCAATTATGACCCCTAAAAATGTATTCTCCTTGACCTGCTCTATTCTTACACCTTGTATCTGTAACTGTATTTGTCTTCCTTATAATTCCCAAATAGCATTATTTTAGTTTTATTCAAATTTAGAGATAATTTATTTGTGTCAAACCATATTTTTAGCTGTATCATTTCAGATGTTATATCAGCTAATAACTGTTGTATGTTGTCTCCATAACAAAATAAATTTGTGTCATCTGCAAATAACACTGCTTTAAACAATGTAGACACTTTGCATAGATCGTTAATATATAAAATAAATAATTTAGGCCCTAACACGGACCCCTGTGGCAGGCCACAGACAATGTCCTCATGTGAAGAGCAGTGTTCACCCAGTTTGACAAATTGTTTTCGGTTTACTAAATAACTTTTTAGCCACTTTAAAGCTACCCCTCTTATTCCATACCTTTCCATTTTTTTTAAATAGTAATTGATGATTTATTGTGTCAAAAGCCTTTTTTAAATCTATGAATATACCTGCTATTATTCTCCTTTGATCAATGTGATTGGTTATTGCTTCAATTGAGTCCATCAGAGCGAGTGATGTTGATCTGCTTGTTCTGAAACCGTACTGACTATCACTGAGTAGGTTGTGTTGACCTATGAATTTTTTCCAGTCTAGTGTTGTAGAGCTGTTCTAATATTTTTGAGAATTGTGGTAGTAGAGAAACTGGTCTGTAGTTGGTAAATTCCTGCTTGTTTCCAGATTTAAATAAAGGTATGACTTTTGCTATCTTCATCTGTAGTGGAACTGTACCAGTTTGAAATGATAGATTGAAGATGTGTGCTAATGGTTTGGCAATTACTGTAATTATTTGTTTTATCAGGGCCATGTCCAAATCAATGTAATCAGTTGATTTCTTATTTTTACATTTCATGACTGTACTGACAATTTCCTTTTCACCCACAGCGGAAATAAACATGGAATGGGGATTTCTGTCAATTAGTTGTTGGCGTTCTCCTGTGTGTTGAGGGATTTTGGCTGCCAAATCTGGACCCACATTAGCAAAGAACTGATTGAACTTATTTGCCACCATTTCCATGTTATATTCATCTATATTATTATGTGTAAAGAATTTCGGATAGTTTTCTGCTTTTGCTTTATTATTTATGACACTGTTCAATATTTTTCCATACCTCTTTCACATTGTTTTTATTATAATCTAATAATTTCCTAAAGTAATCTCTCTTACTTGTACACAAAATTGTAGTTAATTTGTTTTTATATGTATTATATCTAGTCTCTGTCTCAATCGTTCTCTTTTTTATAAAATTTCTGAATAGACTATTTTTCTTATTGCAAGCATTTTGAAGACCTTTTGTTATCCAAGGGTGTTCTTTATATCTACTTTTTTATTATAGTATACAATTGGACAGTTTCTATTATATAACTCTAGAAATATTTTTATAAATTCATTGTATGCACATTCTGCATTTTGGATATTACATATAGCATCCCAGTCTTGAGAAAGTAAACTATTTTTAAAGGCAGTGATAGTTTGGTCTGATTGAATTCGTCTGTGGTATTGTATTTTTTCAGGCACTTTTTTTCTCAATCTAAAATCAGTAACTATGAAAACTGGCAAACAGAAGTGAATGTTCTTTTAAAAAATCTTGGTTTAAACCTAATAGCAACACTGGTAAAAGCCACACATTTGTCTAAATCACACACCAAGCTTTCAACATTATAACCACTGACAGAGAAAATTAATGACATATTGTGTTTTCATAAGGCACCTGTGGGGAAAAGACAACATAATGTCTGTGTATTAGAAGTAGGAAAATGGGCAGGTGTAGGGATCTGATGACGACTACACAACTGGGTCAGAACATCTCCAAAACTACACCTTCTACACTTTATCAAGTTCTA